CGGGTACGGGTACGGGTATGGTGTCATACCCGTACCCGTACCCGTACCCGGTTTAATTTATCGGGTTTTACCCGTACCCGTCCCCGTACCCGGTCAAATCGGGTATTCCCCGTCAAAGTCGGGACGGGTTCGGGTATTACCCACGGGTACGGATTTATTTGTCATCCCTATCCTCTACATTTAATACAAGGTACAAAATTAATATATTAAATTACATTTCATATTTACAATTTTTTAAAACTTATTTAACATTACTTATGCACAACAGGTTTGATCGCAGACGCCGGTAGTGGATGAGGAGATAAAGAAATTGGTAAGTTAAATGTGTCATACGCTTGTAAAATAAATTTTTTAGCATTCCGGAAAGTACTTTTCGGAATAGTAAAATTATTGTTCATATAATTCCGGAAAGAACTTTCCGTAATAGTAACTTTAATATTATGGAAAGTACTTTCCATAATTATGTAACAAAACATTTCCGGAAAATACGTTCCGGAATAAGAATTTAATATTATGAAAATTATTTTCCGGAACATTTTTATATAATTCCGGAAAGAACTTTCCGTAACAGTAACTTTAGTATTATGGAAACTACTTTCTGGAACTATGTAACAAGTTTTTTGGAAGCTACAGAATTAAATATTATGGAAAGTACTTCACCGGTAAAGAGTCTTTCTTATGCTGGTTATGGTAGGGCTAGTCATTTTTTTATTCAGAATGACTGTAAAAGTATATTCATATTATTCTTGAAAGTTGTTTGATGACATTGAGCAGAAAGAGGCTTTAGGAAAAAGAGGGGTGTGGCATGTGGGGTGCGGGGAACGGGGGTGCGGGGAAGGGAGTGTAAATTTAGGAATTTCATTTTTTTAAAGGGTAATTTAGACATTTTATATATTTTTTTCTTAAAAGAAGATATATTTATACGAGAGTGGAGGTGTGTTTATCATCTGCCTTATCCATATTGTCAAACTAGGCCAAAACACCCAACAAGCTATCATGGAATGGATTTGTTTCCACAAACCCCATTCCTTTCGAACTTGAACGTAGTAAAGTAAAAAAGGTGTGCAACCCATGTCCTTAGTAATGGTAATTACTCAAATAACACCACAAAAAATATTAAATGTAGTGATATATAAAAAATGCTACTATAGATACAATATATATTACATAATATTTTAGTGTTAATTTTAAATAAAATTCAACATATATTATTTGTTATCATATCCTATATACATATATTTTTTAACAATATATATATCAACATATATTGTATTTATTGAGTCTTTATAGAGTGTATATCACTACATGACAATATTTTTTGTAGTGTAAATGTAATTATGTATATCTATATTTTTTTTTATCTATGTTCATTGTTATTATTATTTTTAGATAAATTTTTCTATACATATTTTTAGAAGAAAAATAAATTTAGTTTATTTTGTAAATTAAAATCAACTTATACACTTAATTTTTAGGTTAAATTATATTTTGTCATACTTTAATACTTAATTTATAATTTTATTTTATTTTTTATTTTTAATTATACAAATTTAGTTCTTCAATTTTAAAAAAATACAATTCTAGTCAAATGGTCAAATTTGCACATGTTAACGGTCTACATTAAAAAAAATGCTCATCCAAAAGATGAGAACTCGGTTGTATAAGTATTCCACATGTTCATGTCATAAATCAAAACTATAATTTATCTCTTTCTTTTTTTTAGTTTTACATTTAATTTTTTCAAAAATTAAAGTACATAAATTAATTTTAATTTATGAAAAATATACAATTTATTTTACCTTCTTATTTTCTCCTCTTACAATTGTTTATGTTATATTTATTTATATTATTAATGATCTCTCCTAAAAAAATTATATATATTTTAATCCCTATTAAGATATTTTTCTTTTCTTCTTCCTTCTCTATTTTCTTTCTTTTTTCTTTCTCCTTGTTATCACCTTTTATTTTACAACTTCTATTTTCTTTTAAATCCTCTTGCATTAACTATTTTCATTTATTCTACACCCTAGTCTTAGGATTATAGAGTTCAAATGCATTTCTTAGTTAAGACAAAATAACTTTATCATGGGTAACAACTTGTATTGATACTTTTTTTTATAGTGACAAGAACTTGCCACATTATTTTAATCTAGATGAATAGTTTTCTAGATCACATAATGCTTTTACTATGCATTGACGCCAAAAATTGTCTATAAGATGATTTGTGAAGAAAAAAAAATCAAATTTCTTCCAATTTAACATTTGTCAAACAAATTTTAACAATTTTATATCAGCATTTTCGAATCTTGTTATAGTGGAGAACACATAAATAACAAAATTACATGTTAATCGAAGATAATAAATAAAGCAAAAAAATTGCTTATATAACAATGATACAAATACCCAAACATTTGATGAAAAAGATTAAAATGATTAAAACAATGCAACAAGTGCTTAATATATTATATACCAAAGTGTTTTATGTAGAAAGATTAAAATAATGCTTATACTAGAAATGTGTATGAACTTTACAACATTGAAGCTCCGATCTAAAGTCAATAAGAATTAATTGATTTAAAATGATATAAAAGAAAGAAAACTCACAAAATAAAAAGGATGAGGGAGACATTGACAAGCAAAAAGAACAAAAGAAAATAGAGAGGGTGAGGAGAAGAAGGACAAGGAAGAAGAAAGGGAATGTTGATAAGGACTAAAGTGTTAAAAAAATAATTTGTATAGGGAAAAGGAAGCTGGAAGATCTAATTCTTAGCTAGTTGAGTTGTGGGCGGTCTATGAGGTGATTAAAATGGCTACAATGAAAATTTAATTATTGCTGTTGAGATTATCAAGTTGTTTATTTTTCAATAGTATTAAAGGCTTCTCTAATAGTAGTAAGGTTGACTCAACATATATATTATAAGAAAGAAAAAAAAAAAGAAGAATAGTTTCGAAATGTAACAAAGAAAAGTAAAAGTTGTGCAAAGTATAAGGAGTAAAATGTATAAATAATAAAAATATAAGGGTTAAAACGTAAAACATTAGATACGCTACGTCTAAGACGTGCTAATATCACATTAGCGACATATCAACATCACATTATATACTTTTAACGGCATTAACATTTTTTAACGCCAAAGACTAAAAAGAAATTGAAAGTGTTTGTGTAAAAATTCAAATGGATAGTTTCAAAATATGAAGATTAAAAATATAAAAAAAGTTGCTACTATAAAGACCAAACATGTGATTGATGAGCTTTTTTTTTTTTTTTTTTCATTTAAGTTAGCATTATAAGAAATCATTTTTTTTTTTATTTTTTAAGAAATCAATTTGAGTCATTAATAAATTTATTAAGAACTAATCATGTCTTAAAAGTAAAGAAATAAGGATAAAAATTTAACGTGAATAAGAAAGCAAAGAACCCTTACCCAATATATCTGTTACGAACTTTATTTTTATTTTTTATTTTTTCCTTTTATAAACTATAATTTTATGAATTTCACCTTTTAATTTTTATAATTAAATAATATTTTTTTAATCTTTATACATATATTTTTGTTTTATCTTAAAAAAAAAAGTTTATAAAAAGACAATAAAAATTTGATTTTTCTTTTTATGGATGAGAAATAAATCAAGAGACAGTGGGGATGAACAAGATTCTGAATGAACAAAAGTGTTGTCAAATGATGAAGCATTCTTTGGCAAGGGGTGATTGAATTGAATATTCCAAGTCTGCATCACTAACCTGGGAATGTGATATACTAATTATGGACCACATCTAAGTGCTAACCATTTCCAAAGCCATTTTCGAATCTGACTCTCATACCCCACAAGACCATAACCCAAACCTAGAGGAAGTCACCCTTCATTTTTCTAAAACTTTTGTACATGTGTATTATCAACAAGATAGGTAAGGATAGAAAAGTACTTGAGCTTGTAGATAACTTAGTTTTTCATTGATTAAATACTTTTAGTTATATATAAAAGCAAAGTTTTAAATTTAAAGTAAGTTCAATATTTATGTTTTAAAAACAAAATAGATATCAGAGAATTTATTTTCAGTATAAATATTATATTTAAGATCAGTATACTAAAATAAATTATATGAAAAGTTTTTAACTCAGAGAAGAGAAAATAAAGAGAGGAGGTAAAGAAGAGATCTGTATTTTGAGTGCCTCAGACTTCTTTAGATGTTCGGTATTTATAGAATGAAAGTAGTGACTTTAATTTGTAGCAATTTATTAAACACGAGTATTAAAATAATTAATTTAAAATAAAATATTGATAATTTAAAAGTAATTAAAATTACAACAATCATATTATTATATTTAATTAAAATTGGAATGAATTAAACTTTAAAGACTAGTGATTAATAAAATAATTTTTTAGAGATATTTTTAAATAAAATTTAGTACAAAAATAATCTCCCAATTAAATTAAATTTTGAAATATTACAAAATATTCAATATTTGTTGCTCAATTACAAGACCGAGACAATGCACATAGTACATATGTTGACAGTTAGAGGTGTGCAAAAAAATCTAAATGGATTCATAATTTGATCAGATTCATATTAAAAAAATTTGATCTATTTAAAAAAAAAAAAATGAACTGATTCACTTTGTAAAATCGGATCAATTATCTTATCCATTTTTACAAAATGATTGATTTAGTTTTATTCAATTTTTTTTAAAATGATCCACACACACACATATATAAAGGATTATACCATATTGAACTAATTTAGTTTTGAAAAAATCAATCCATATTTTTCTAAAAATAAAATCAATCTACTTTATAAAAAACATATCAACTAACCGATATACTTTTATAAAATTTGATTCATGATCACCCATATTGACAACACATCCTATGCAACATAACAATTTGTACAACGATAAAATATGTCTCCACAAGCTATCCCATACATCTAATGTTGATGACATTATGCAAAATGAATATGAGGAATAATGTCGTCATTCATTTGCATTCACTCCAACACAATAACATCATGAAAATTTTTATGACCATTAATATTCATTTACACATAGTGTAGAAAATTTTGAGACATAATTTTAGTGCATACTTTTTGAATGCTAGGGATTGCCAAAACTTACATATAATATATGTTTTAACTCGATATTTCATTATATCAACACTAAGAGGTTGGTGTTGAAATTTTGTGACAAGCAAACCAAGTATGTTATTATATAAAATTGAAGTTCGAATTTTCGATCCACAAAGACTTAGAAAATATTTTATAATTTATAATATCCTAATTAAAACTTGTAATAGAAAGATTAAATGTTGAATATGAACATGTTTTTCATTTCAGTTATCTTACTCATTTACTCTTCTAAGATTACCTATAAATGATTTCTATCACTTAATATTGTTAAATTCTCTAAGATCATTCTAAATCAATTTTCTGTCTTTAGAAATTCTAAGGATTCTAATTTAATAAGCAATTCTTTAGTTTACCAAATCAAAGTCTATTCTTAACCTTTAAATCAGTTGGTGATTCAATTCAAAACAAATTTCAAAAACATTTTTCGATCAAAATTTAAATTAAAGATCAAAAAATGAATGATCAATTCACCACAAGCAATAAGAATAAAATCAAATCACTAACACTTGAATAATGGACGATCATATATATAAATCAAAAAGAATACATAAGAGTTTGATAGATTACATTCAATTCCAACAAAAGAAGATTAGCTATTCATGGTATTGAGAGCAATCTTCATATACAAAGAAAGTATAAAAAAGGAAATATAAACTCAAAATCTTTGCCCTCATATGACTCTTGAACTTTTCTTTCTTTAGCTCTACTTCTCACTTTGTTCTTTTTACCAAAATAAATTGAGGGGTGTATAGGATTGAGTTTTCAAAAGACAATTTTAACAAGAAAAAGTCTTGTGAATTTTAATAGATTTTAAATGACTTTGTAGGAATGTCATGACTTTGAGGATTTTTTTAAAGGACCTTTAAAACTTAGGTTTTAATCAAGACTTTGTAATTCATATTTTAATAAATTTTAATCGATTTTGATGAATTTATATTATAAGATTTTAAAGAATTTTATGAATTTGACAAGAAAACATGAATTTGCAATATTACAAGATTCAATAAAAAAAAATATAAATAATAAAGAAAAGTAAAATCAACATAATTATTCTATCTTTTGATAAATATTTGATTATAATATCCTCTTAACTAATATTTATTCACATATTTGAAGTTATACTAACCCTCTATGTATTAACACATTTTATAATTTCTATTTCATGCACTTAAGTATGAATAATGTGTTTAAAATTATAATATTGATTAACCGATAGTATTGAAGATGATGATTTATTAATTTATTAGAATAACATCTTTTGGGAAAAAAAGTTATGTAGTGTTACTGTTACATATTAATATAAGTTCAACTTATTTCTTAAATAGAAATAGAGATTTAGACTTAAAAATTGTAAATCATGATTTAAAAATACTAAATATTTTCTCTATTACACTTTTTAAAGATGCATGACGTGAATTAAAAATTTCATTTTCATTTTGAAGTTTAGTAGCATGACCCACAAAATATTTTTAATATATATTTTAAAATTTTATATTTTATTAAATATAAACGGTTAAAATTTAATAATTAAAAAATTTAACAATAAATAATATTTAATAATATAAATTATTTTAAATATTTAATCATTAAAAATAAATATTAATAAATTATAAATCAACTAATAGATAAAAAAAATACATAAGAAAAAGAAGAGATAAATGAAAGATATGAATAAAAAGAGAAAGAAAAAATGAGATAGAGAAGAAAAAGAGAGAAAGAGAAAAAGAAGTAAGAAGGACAATAGAGAAAAAAAAAACAAAAAATAAGAAGAAGAAGAAGGAATAAATGAATAAATAAATAAAAAATAAGATAGAGAAAAAAAAGAAAAGAGATGCAAAAATAATGAGAGAAAATGAGATTAAAAAAACATGAGAAGAAAAAAACAAAAAATAGAAGAAAAAAAATCATATAAAACCTTAAAATTTTTGATAAAATTGTTTGATGGATGAATTACATATAAACTATACTAAAAAGTCTCATAAAATTTAATATTCAAAATAATTTATTTAAATTTTTATATTTTTAAATATTAATAAAATATTTAATAAAATATTACTAGATTTTAATGAATTTAATTTTTTTGACTATCTTAATTAAATATAATAAGATGATCTTTAAAAAAAATCTTAACTAAATATAAAAAAAGAAATTATAATAATATTTTAAAAAATCCATTAAAATTTCAAATCAATACACTCTTCAAAGTGATAATTCCAAACATTATTTTTGTTTTGTAGCTATAAAAACAAAGAGAGAGGCTTCCTTGTTTCCTGTTTTACTTTTGAATTAAAAGGCAAAATTTATATATATATATAGAGAGAGAGAGAAAAATGAGTGATATTCCATTACCTGGTCCACATCATTTATCACTCATACCATCCTCTTCCAACTTCAATTCTCCATTAACAACAACAAAACTCTCACTTACCAATTATTTCACCTCTCATACTTCACACCGTGCATGGCGTCGCCCTGCGTCACGGACGCTGCCCGCGCGGCCGCCTGCAGGGACGGGGCGGCGGCGTCTCACCTCAAAACGATCTCAATCTTGGTCATCTTCGTGACGAGCGTGGCGGGGATGTCGTCGCCGGTGCTGCTGGCGGGAGTCTTCAGGGGAAAGGCGGTCTACGACAAGGCCTTGGTGGTCATAAAGTGTTTCGCGGCGGGCGTCATCCTCTCCACCTCGCTCGTCCACGTGCTCCCCGACGCGTACGCCGCACTCGCCGACTGCCACGTGGCGTCGCGCCATCCCTGGAGGGACTTCCCCTTCGCCGGTCTGGTCACGCTCGTGGGGGCGCTCCTCGCTCTCCTCGTGGACCTCGCCGCCAGCTCGCACGTGGAGCACGCGCAGTACGCGCCCGTGGTGGCGCAGGAGAAGGAGGCGGCGGTGGAGCTCGGCGGCGGCGGCGGCGGCGAGGGGGAGAGGGGTGACGAGGTGGTGAAACTTAAGCAGAGGCTGGTCTCGCAGGTGCTTGAGATTGGGATTATTTTTCACTCTGTCATCATTGGGGTGACTATGGGGATGTCTCAGAACGTTTGCACTATTCGCCCTCTCGTCACTGCTTTGGCTTTTCATCAGATTTTCGAAGGCATGGGTCTCGGTGGCTGCGTCGCTCAGGTACCTTTCTTCTATTTCTTTCTTCTACTTCTCACCTCAATATTTTCATCTATGCTCTCTCTTTACATAATTTCTATTACCATAAAACTTAATTACATATAATTCTCTTAACACCCAAGTTTAGGGATTTTTGGTTTTTTTTTTTTTTTTTTTTTTTTTTTTTTACTATTGGCTTTGTATGTGGTTTGTATTGTGACGAAGAAACTAGAAAGTGACGATCGCAAATTGGAAACGTATAGCTTGACCTTAAGAGCATGTGGCTGACCTTGTGACTGCCTGTTACTTTCGGGAAACATAATAACCGTTTAAATAATATATATTTTATTGCTTCTTCACCTTTCGCTCCTACTTAATAACAATGTTTCAAGTCTTTAGAAAGCCATTCTGAACAGAATTAAGTATTCATGTCTGATTCAGAGGGAATTGTTCATTTTTTTTATTAGTCGAATTGTTAATAAACTAACACCAAGTTACCTTCTACCTCTCAGGTGTGTGTGTTGGAGGGTTAAAGTCTAAAAACATGCTTTTGCTAAAACTAGTTTATTGAAGTGCCTCTTTTTTTTATTTATCAAAATATTCTGCATTAAAAAATGTGTGTTTTTTCCCAAAAAAATATCCTTTTTCTTAAAAATTTTATTTGGTTCAACGTGTCTCTTAAAAAGAGGAAAAATAAATCAAAATAAATTGGGGACCCATATGCCTCGGCTAAAATTAAAATGACCACAAGTTAGTCTAATCATCAATATGTGGTTGTTAAGATCTAATGTTTCATATACTCCCTTTGTGCAAGAAAATTTTATTTAAGATGTCTAAAAAAAATTTTCTAAAGGCTTTTATATTCTTTCTAAATACATGATTGTTGGGTAAAAATCTACAATGTGAGCCAAACCAACAAGGTTTCCTCCCATAATTTAATGTAAAAGATTTCTTATGCTCCATGCAATGTGGACATGCAAATCTTCCATGAGTGCCCCAACTAGACAACATGCCATATGCAGGGAAGTATTAATAGTCCACATCAAAGCTGGCTTCATGAAAAAAAATTTCTTTCTTGACACATCATATGTCAAAATCCCAGTCCATAACTTTTTCAAGTCATCAATCAAAGGTTCTAAATAAACATCAATACTTGCCTTTGGATTCGATGGACTAGGTATAAGGCATCTCAAAAACATATAAGCTTTAGACATGCATATTTCAGGAGGAAGATTATATGGTGTAATAATTACAGGCCAACAAGAATAAGGTGAAGATGATGCTTGGATATACGGATTGAATCCATCAGAGCATAAACTAAGTCGTACATTGCGTGGATCGATAGCAAAATCTAGATGTACTCGATCAAAATGCTTCCAAGCTTCGCCATCAGATGGATACCTTAAGACTCCAGCACTTTTTTTGTTTTCATGATGCCATGTCATATGTCCTGCTATTTGCATTGATGCAAACATTCTCTATAGTCGAGGGATTATAGGCAAATAGAACATTGCCTTAACTGGAACTTATTTTTTATTACTTATTTCGGTGCTACAGTCATGATACCTCGAATTATGACAAAATTTGCATTCAATTAATGCTCCATCATTTTTTCCATATTCATTGTCATAAAAAAGCATACAACCATCCACACAACAATCAATCCTCTTAGCTTCCAATCCTAGCTTTGCTACTAATCGTTTGGCATCATAATAACTTTTTGGAAAACTCCCTTTTATGGGTGTTACATACAAAAACATCTGTATAATAAAATCTAAATATTGATCAGGAACATTCCAATTGGACTTGCAAGCTAATAGCCTGACGCATATGGATAGTTTAGAGTCTTTAGCCCCTTCAAACAACGAGACAGATTATAGAATCTTTGAGTTTCTTCATTTGGAGGCTCTTCCATGTTGTCAAACTCTGGTGTGTCAAGTGACTCATGTTGTCTGAGAGCATCAGACACCATCTCTTGCATAAACATAAATTGTTCCTCTCGAGGAAAATCTACAACACTATCATTAGCATGTAAGTCAACATGTGGCATTTCTTCACCATGATCGGTCCAAACAAAATAATCAAGTTTGAACCCTTGTTTGTAAAGGTGAACCTTCACAATTTCATCATTCAAAATCTTTGTACAATTGCATTTGAGACATGGACATCTAATCCCCCCATCACCTTTATAATATTTGTATTGGCGAGCTTTGTTTATAAACTCTTCAACGCCCAATACAAAAGATGGTTTCAATCCTGTTCTATCAGGGTAACACCTATAATACATCCAAGCACGATTCGACGTAAAAGAATCCATGTTCTGTATATTTAAACATGGAATAGTTATTAATCTAAAAATACAATTAAGATACATTAAGAAGTATTATCAAACCAAGAACATAAATTTAATCTAATTAGGGTTTGTTTTTACTATTAATTACAATACCATTAATTACTATTAGGAAAACTAATTAGGATTTCAAGATGCATCTGGAACGGCCCGTTCTAAAACCAGAACGACCCGTTCTTCTTGTACTCGGTGTGTCTTAATTTTGCATCTGGAACGGGCCGTTCCAGATGCAAAACGGGCAGTTCCAGATGCAGTACGAGCCGTTCTAGATGCAAAACGGGCTGTTCCAGATGCAGAACGAACTGTTTTGCTTTCATACTTCAAAAAATCAGTAGTCAATAATTGTGCCTTAGAAAGTTTTAGAAGGAAATACAACATGTAATAATATTCATACTTCAGAGCCTATTATATGGTAGCCTAGTGGAGTAATGCGGGTGCCACTATTTGCCAATGCAATTTAAAGTATCGCATTATTTTTTTTTTTATTATTACGAGTTAATCATTTATATACGATTAGTATAAAAAAAATTTATATTAATAATTATATTTTTTAATTATAATATGTCACTGATAAAAATAAATATATTTATAGTGACATATATAATTAGAAAATATAATTAATCATTAGTAACCGTATATAGGAGATTAACTCTATTATTATTATGTTGAGAATTTGCATCTTTGAAAGTTTTGTTGAAAGTATATACACGGATTCCACCAAGTGTTCTTTTCAATTTTGGTGGAATTTGGGATCCTATGATTTTGATTCCTTGTGCTGCACTTCTTTATCTTTATAAAGTTAACTATTTTCGTTATTTTTCTCAGAAAAACAGTACACGTCTCTTTGTTCATCAACCCACTCTGGTTTAACTGGTCACGTTGTACAGTCAATAAAGATAGGAGTGTGAATCAGTAGCTTATAAAAGATAATAAAAATACAGACTCAACTCTGTGTCTTAAATAGTTTTATTTATTTTTTAATAATTAATATGGTACGGTGTGTCTTGAACAGTTTACACAAAGATTCAGAAGGTGAATTCATGATTTTAATTATTTTCAAATAAATATATAGAGCATCATCTCTTTTTCTATAAATTAAAATAATTATTTGAATAAAAGCTTTTTTAAAAAAGTATTATTCTATAACAAATTATAATAATAAAGGATTTAGTAGATAAGGAAAATTGAAAATAGAAAAACTTTAGGGGTGCAACAAGAGAACATTCCACTCAAATGCGTAACAATACTAAAAATGATTGAAATTCTTTTTTGAGGATTGCTATATCCTCTGAAGTCGAAACGAACTACAGTCCAAAATTTTAAAATATTAATATTAATATTTTATAATTTAATATTAATATTATTAAATAATTATTTAATTTAATATTTTATAATTTAAATTAATTTTTTAAACGTTCGGAATACGTTTCGGACATTTCAGTCAGAGATGTAGAATTTTTCAAACTTTTTCTATGTTTTCCTGATTAAATTTGTGTTAAAATCAATAAATAGCTTCGAAGCATTTAGGGCACTGACTCAGTCATATAACTCCATTTTTTCTAATAACTTTTTGTCTTTTTACTTTTTTTTATTTATTTTATATTATTGTTTAAACATTAGGGCCAAGCTTTTGTGATGGTCACGGCAAATCCAAAATGGGCTAAGCCCAATTCATTTGCTTTTAATTTATTTGCTTTTATTCTTCTTATTTGTTTTCTGGGTTTTGTGCATATGGTACTTTTGGGTTCAGCCTAAATCAAATATTACTATCTAGGACATTGTTATTCTCACACTCCTCACTGTTAAGTTCACACACTTATTTCATTTTATTATTTTTTTCCTTTTACCAAAATGCACATTCTCGTTATGAAAAATACATAATGCAAATTTATTTTTGTTGTATTTTATAAAAATACATTTTTGTTATATATTATATTCCATTATATAGTACACATTAAATATATGTTTTCATTGTGTATGCAATCAAATTATACAACGAAAACTCATTTTCAGTATGTAGTTAATATTTCTTATTAGCAAGAATTACAATTACACATTTTTCTTATCCAGTTAATTTGTAATACAAGTTACCTTTATAATTGACATTAATTTATTTACAATACAATTTATCATTTTCAATAATAATTGAATTAACTACGATACAAATAGGTCTTTAATTGAAAGTAATTTAAATATGATATCGATAAAAGTTACCATTTTAAATACTAACCAAACCAATTGCAAATTTACAATACTACATATATTATTTAATAATCAAATTATTTATAATGCAAATAATTTTTTTAATTAAAATTGATTGAATTACCAATTGTGACAAATTTGTTCGGGTTGGAGTTGTATCTAAATAAAATATTTTGATTAATTTTCAATACAATGGAAGGAAACAAAGATATTTATATTAAACAAAAAGAAAATAATAATAATAATTATAAGCACTAGAAGGAACTAACTCAAAGAAAGGGAAGGCAGTGTATCTTGCTTCAAAGGACAGTTTGGAGTTTTTAACTGTCTCATGGTGGCTAAAGGGGTGTTGGCTGCCAAAAGGGTTGCTGCCGAAGCCACAAACCTTAACACACAAATGCCCCGAGTCTTTGTCATGGATTTCATAATGAAAAACACAAAAACAAAAACTTGTTGCACAATGAATTTTCTCAAGGTAAGTGTTGGAATTTCACAGATGCTGATGGTGTTATGAATGCAAACAACGTGGTAGTATGTTAGGCCAATATACATGATTAAATATATCTCGATCAAATATAATTTGGAAATATCCAATTAGTCATAATGGAGTTAGTATTTTAGGCCAATAATGGAGTTAATATTTTGTTGCATGTAAATATTTATTCTAATTAGCATATATTTAAGATGCTATATGCTATATTTTAGGTAATACTAATGTTGATTCTAGTTAACATATATTTAGGATGCTATAATTTTAGTAATAATATTGATAATCAGCATATATTCGACTTAAAAATATATATATTTAAGATGCTATTTTTTCAACCCAGGTTTTGGTCATATATTTGAAAAACAAAAATTTGCCTTATATTTTACTCTATTACAGAGTTTTATTTTCGGCAATTCTATTTATTATTTTTTGTAACTAATATTTTAACTTGGCATATATTAAATATTATTATATATAATTAAAATTTATAATAAAAAATATATATATAAATAAATATTATATATATTTGAATATATAAATCATAAAATTTGAATAAATAGATATTTTTAAAAATAAAAATTATATATATATATATATATATATTTTACAGTAACATATAAATTATATTTTAAATTTATGATAAATAATTTATATTGTAATCTAATATTATTTTTATTTATTGATAATTTATTTTAATATTAAAACTTAATTTATAAATAATTATGATAAATAAAAATCAAACTAAATTAGAAGTTAAAAAGATTTTTAAAAACTTTATTGTTAAAGAAATTTTTTTAAATTAAAATGTTTTCGTACAAGATAAAAATTTATGTTTAATGTATAGAAGTTGATGATGTTAGTAAATATAATTTATTTTTTATAATTAGAATAGTTTTAGTAAAAATAATGCCGTGAGACATTATAATATGACTGCAAAACTCTCCTTTCTACCGCAATCTTTTATTTAAGACTTGAAACTCAAGACTAAGGGGTGGTTTGGTACATTACAAGATTTAAAATTTTCAAGAATTTAAAATTGAGAAAGCTTAATTTATTGTTCAAAAAGTAACATTTTCAATAAGAACATTTTTTTTTTTTTGAGAATGAGAGATAAAAATCTAACTTTCTTAAGTAGAGTAGAAAATTTTATTGTGATATAAATATCATGTTTTCCATATTAATTCATTTATTGTGATAATTAAAGTTTATGGAGAATTTTTTTAAATATAAACTATTTCATTTGCAAAAAATATATATATAAATATTTTTAAGAATATTTATGATATACCAAATTAATTTTATTCATTTCTGATGATAATTTTTAAAAATTTCATGATTCATATATGAATTGTGAATTTGTGATTCATGGACGTGGAAAAAAAATCTATCAAATGTGCCCTAATAATTAGTTAATGTTAAAACATATTGTTACAGTGAGAAATACTAAAAATATTCTTGATTATATCCTCTCTTTTATTAACAAAAATTGATAGAAAATCATAAATTTTAGTGAATCTCGTTAATAATTTCTTTTTTCAATTTATACAATGGTGCAACCAAAGTTTACGATTTTAAATAAATATCACTAATAAAATGGAGTATTAGAAATAGCATCCCTATTGTACTACTCGTACCGCGAAGCCGAGCTCTAGCTCGACACCACAGCGTAGGACAACCTCGGGTATGTGCTGGGAGATCTCAGTCTAAGCGAGATTCGCTATCCAATCAGATCGTAACTGATCTCAGAAGATCTCGCCCCAGATAAGATATATTATCTAATCATATCTCATCTAATCCGAGGCCCAGGACCCAAAACAACCCTAACTCACACTAAGGTACATGCATTACATATACGAGACTAATAATCATACAAACCCTAACTTTAGCATCGGAGTCTCTTTTGCAAGTACCACCTCCATCTTGGAGCATCTACGTACCACGACCGATTTTCGGTAAGAACATTTGGCGCCCACCATGGGGCCGATCGAGACAGCTCTCATCGGCCACGCTTATGGTTAGCACCAGAAGCCATAGCAGACGCGCAACGGACGACGCAAACCATCCACCCACCATGGATAACGAAGCAGCGTTGAGGAGGCTGATCGACCAGGTCGAACAGATGCGGCAGCAGCACAACGCCGATCTGCAAAACATGCGTGCCCAGCACGAAACAGACCTAGCGGCCATGCGGACCGCTAACGAAGCTGCCCTAGCAGCACTAAGAGCCGAAAACAAGCGCATTCGCGCCCAACTACCGAGGCACCACCAGGATCCCCCCCCCCTCACGTGAGCAACCACAATGAGGAGGATGAGCATTCCGTCTCCCAATCCCGAACCGCGACTAGGGTACCAACCCCACGGCCCGCCACACATCCGTCTCGCGCACCAACACATAAGTCAGCCCATGAAGACAGCAGGGCCCCTACTCATGTTGCGGGAGGGCAGGCAACCTTCCGCCGCCACCCCTTTGTGGACGGCATCATGGAGACACCCCTCCCTCACAGGTGGAAGCCTCTCCACCTCGACCGCTACGATGGCACGACGGACCCGGACGAGCACGTCGACTTATACACAACACAGGTAAACCTCTACACTAACAATGACGCTATCTTGTGTAGGGTTTTTCCAACCTCGCTCAAAGGAGCTGCGCTCAACTAGTACACCCAACTGCCTGCCGAGTCTATCGACAGCTTCAACACCCTAGTCAGGAGGTTCACAGTGCAGTATGCGACAAGCCAACCTCACCACGTCACTTCAGCCGCCCTGACCAGTCTCAGGCAAAGCGATGACGAATCGCTCAGGGCGTTCATGGAACGATTCGCCGCCATCTCAATCAAGATCAGAAACTTGAACCCCGAGGTCGCCCTGCATGCCATGCTCATGGCACTCAAACCCGGGCCATTCGTCGACAGCCTATGTCGCGAGTCCCCTCGCGACATGGATGAGCTCAGTGCCTGCGCCACAGGTTACATCCAGATGGAGGAACACTCCGCTTTTCGCGACCAAATGCGTGGAAAGGGACCAGTAAAGGCAGAACAGGGCACAAAGACAAGGTGAAAGTCAACAATGACAACCAGTTTAAGAAATTGGCCAGAGAAAACAGAGGGGGAAGGTACGAATTTTATACTCCCCTAAACACACCTCGAGTACACATCCTCGAGGAAGCCAGCAACAACAACCTGCTCACCCTGCCACCGCCAAGCCACACTCCCACCAGTGCCGATAAGTCCAAACACTGCCGGTATCACAAGAACCATGGACACACCTCCGAGGAGTGCCACACGCTCTGAGATCGTATTGAGGAGCTCATCCAAGCAGGTCACCTCGGCCAATATGTCCAACGACAACAAGGCCACCGAGGAGGCTACGGCGGGCGAGGGCGAGGTAGAGGTCGTGGTTCAGGAGCTCGCACGGACCAACCCTCAGGCTCCCAGCAAAACGCCGGCGGAGCAGTACAGGCCGAGGTAAACCAGGAGATAGGAGCAGCTCCCTTACGGGGAGTAATCAACACAATTGTAGGTGGTTTTGCTGGGGGAGGCGTCAGCAGCTCGGCTCGGAGAAGGCACCTGCAGAGTATTAACTACGTCAGCACTACCACCTCGACCTCCCTCCTAAGCTCACCGCCGATCTCTTTCTCTGACCAGGACTACGCAGGTGTCAGCCCCAACCAGGACGATCCCATGGTGATCGTCGTCGAAATCGCCAATTGGGAGGTGCAGAAGACACTCATTGACCAAGGAAGTTCGGCCGACGTCCTCTACTGGCCGACATTCCTCAGGTTGGACATCCCCCATTCCCTCATCCAACCTCACACGGAGCCCCTAGTCAGTTTCGCAGGAGAACGAGTTCACACTTGCGGGTACGTAGACCTACTGACAACCTTCGGAATACCTCCGGATACAAGAAGGATCATGGTCCGATACCTCCTCGTGGAAGCCAACACCTCCTACAACATCATTATCGGGAGGCCACCCCTGAATCAGCTCGGAGCGGTGGTATCCACTCCACACCTCACCATGAAGTTCCCAGGGAACAACGGTAAAATCATCACTGTCAAGGCAAATTAGAAGACAGCTCGACAATGTTACGCCGAGAGCCTGAAGATCTCCTCGTCCAGCAAGCAAGGAAAGAGGGATCCCCCCATCGTAACTCCTTAAGTTCCATTTCTTCTGTTTTCTCCATATGAACAAAGCTGTGCACTCTTTTCCCGCCTTAAACCGAGAGGGTTTTTAACGAGGCACACATACATAATAAATAAAATCACCCATTTTACTCAATTTATATTCTTATTTTCCTGCTTACGTAATGAACAAAAATGAACCTTAAACGCGCGAATGCAAATCTCGAGGCCAAATACGAACCTAGACATTTCCGTTAAAGGTCAGATCGGTTCGCTCAAACTCGAGGTCAGATCCGAACCTCGCCAGACCAGGTCAAATACGAACTTCGATACCCCGCCTAAGGTCGGGTTCAAACCTTAACTAAATCCCTATGCTCAACGCTTCTATCCAAGGTCGAGTCCGAACCTTGGTGTAATTCGCTTTGCCCAAATGTGAGGTCAAGTACGAACCTCAATGCTTCTATGCAAGGTCGAGTATGAACCTCAACGCTTCTATCCAAGGTCGAGTCCGAACCTTGATGTAAATTCGCTTAGCTCAAAAGCGAGGTCGAGTACGAACCTCAATGCTTCTAGGCGAGGTCGAGTACGAACCTCAATGCCCCTATCTGAGGTCAAGATTGAACCTTGGTGTAATTCGCTTAGCTCAAAAGCGAGGTCGAGTACGAACCTCAATGCTTCTAGGTGAGGTTGAGTACGAACCTCAATGCCCCTATCCGAGGTCAAGATTGAACCTTGGTGTAATTCGTTTTGCTCAAAAGTGAGGTCGAGTACGAACCTCAATGCTTCCAGACGAGGTTGAGTACGAACTTCAATGCTTCTAGGCGAGGTCGAGTACGAACCTCAATGCCCCTATCCGAGGTCAAGATTGAACCTTGGTGTAATTCATTTTGCTCAAAAGCGAGGTTGAGTACGAACCTCATTGCTTCTAGGTGAGGTCGAGTACGAACCTCAATGCCCCTATCCGAGGTCAAGATTGAACCTTGGTGTAATTCATTTTGCTCAAAAGCGAGGTTGAGTACGAACCTCATTGCTTCTAGGTGAGGTCGAGTACGAACCTCAATGCCCCTATCCGAGGTCAAGATTGAACCTTGGTGTAATTCGCTTTGCTCAAATGTGAGGTCGAGTACGAACCTCAATGCTTCTATGCGAGGTCGTACCTCAACGTTTCTATCCAAGGTCGAGTCTGAACCTTGATGTAAATTCGCTTAGCTCAAAAGAGAGGCTGAGTACAAACCTCAACGTTTCTATCCAAGGCCGAGTCCGAACCTAGATGTAAATTCGCTTAACTCAAAAGCGAGGTCGAGTACGAACCTCAATGCTTCCAGGCGAGGTCGAGTACGAACCTCAATGCCCCTATCCGAGGTCAAGATTGAATCTTGGTGTAATTCGCTTTGCTCAAATGCGAGGTCGAGAGCGAACCTCAATGCTGCTATCCGAGGTCGAGTTTTGAACCTCGAATATCCATCGAAAGCTGAGTCTGAACCTCGGTATGATTTGGGTCAAGTTCGAACCCCCACACAAAGTTGTTCAATAATACTAAGAACACAAAATTATTTAACAAGAATCTAAGGTCGAGTTCGAACCTTCATAACACACTAACAAAAATACAAGGTCGAATTCGAACCTTTATACAAGTCGCTCTACCCCAATTAAAGGACGAATCCAAACCTCGACACTATCAGCCCAAGGTCGGTTTTTCATGACAAAAATCCACCTAACAAAAAACTGAGGGCGACCACGAACCTCAATGCTTCCATCCAACATTGAAATTAAACCTTGAGGTCGCCCGTTTCAGAGGTCGAATACGAACCTCGACACAACACACGCTAAAAACACCAACATAAAGGCAACACATTCATGACAGGCCAAGTTTGAGCCCCAAAGAAAGACAGTCAAAATAAGAATAAGTCTCAAGAAAGCAATATATACACAAACAGTTACGGAGTTCAACACTTGAATTCAAAAGGCAAGACAAAAAGCAAAGAAAAACTAAATTATTACAAAAAATGGCTTATGCAGAGGCATTCTCACTAGAGCTATCATCGGCGTCATCCTCCTTGACCAGTTTCCCGAAGCGGATTACCTTCTCCACATCCATGGCAGAGAAGTCAAATCCGGGCGTAAGAAACCTGCATGGCCTGGCGAGCAGCTTAAGGAAGCCCCTCTTGTGCTCCACCACAACAGAGTGCTCGACCTCCGCCAGTCTTTTTTCCACAGCCGCCTTCCCTGCCTCCAGCTCCGCAAGCTCCACCCTCAAAGAGGCAATCTCGTCTTCCTGACCGCCAAGAATGGCCTCGCTACGGAGGCGCTCCTCAGCTGCCTCCGTCAGCTCTCCTTTGAGAGAAGTCACAACATCTTCCAACTCCCGCACTTGGACACAGGAAGACGTCACCTTATCCTCCAAAGAACGGGTGCGACCGCGAGAGAATGCGACGAGCTCCTGCAGCTCCCCCACCTGGGAAGCATAAGCCTCGTTGGATCGTAATGCGATCTCAAGAGATTTCTGCACCCTTGCAAGGTCGCCCTTCACAGATTGGAGCTCGGCCCCTTGCGCTTTCGCCTTGCTCAAGGCAGCATTCAGCAACTTATTCTCCTCCCTCAAGATTTTATTCGCCTCCTTCCAGGGCTGAGCTCGGCTCTTCAGCCTGACCAACTCCTCCTGCTGATTTGACCACCTATGCTTTCAGTGGCCCATGATGGCCGTAGCCCTCTGCAGAAGAACCTGAGCAGCATCAAAGCTCTCCACGGGCCCAGCCCCCTCTATCAACTCTTGGTCCCCAGCACTCAGCGAGCTGCTGGGGAAAAATTTCTCAGCAGTCATCCCCGCACTCCATAATGAATCCATGTCAGCCGAAGCGCTAACATGGTCCAACCTCACGTCAGTGCGATCCTTCCCGAAACGGTGAGCAAGATACTGACTTCGGGAAGTCCCCTGGGAAAAGCCAGGGGAGGGGGCAGACATAGCAGGTGTCGTCACAGGGATCTCCGAGTTCGGCCCCTCGTCACGAGCCTAAGCAACAGGAGGATCCACTTTGAAAACCTCCAGCCTCGGAGAAGCCGAAGTCTCAGTAGCACCCCCCTCCTACAAAAACGACCCCATGTCAAAACGACAAAACAACAGTACATCGGCAGGATAGAAAAACACAAGAGAGAAATACTCACCACGGCTACCTGAGTGACGCGTTCAGCAACCCGAGCCCTTACCTCGGCAGCTATCCCAGCCTGTAAAAAACCACATCGCCTTAATAACTCAAGCAAAGTCCACTCAGAAGAAAGGGACAAGGAAATAAGATACTTACCTCGACAAAAGGGGCAACCTGTTCAGCAGCCGAAGTCGCCACCTCGACAACCTAAACAACAGGCTCAGCAGCTCGAGCTATCCCCTCGGTAGCCACCTGAGAAGCCTCCTGGGCCGGCGGACTCTCAGTGAGATCCACCGCATCAGCATCAGCCGCCTTAGAGGTCACCTCCTCGTCGTCCGAACAAGCGGAGGTCCCCCAACCTCCTTCCTCCCCCTCTTTCTTTTCCGGCTGGCCTCCGGGGGGGGACTCTCTTCTTGAGGCTCGGGAACCTCAAGCTCAGCAACGTTGTAGCGGTGCTTGAGTTCCTTCCACAAGTTCTTCCCCATAATGCCTGCAAAACAGGATACATCACCACATTAGCCAAGAAACCATAAACTCAAACCCTAACAAATCGACAAAACACAGAATACTCACGCTCCAGGCCTCTCTTCCTGTTCGCCGAGTTCTCGAGCGACAGGATGAGTTTGCAATTGAGCGGCCGAGGAAGCGCCTCAAGATCTCCGATGGCGGCCAACTCTGCAACCGTCAAAAGCAATTGGCCGTCTCCGTGAAACCTAGACGGCTCGGGGCACCAATAAAAGGGGAACTTCGGCAATTCGCCGAAGTAGAATGCCCCATCCTCCGGCGGGTCAACGTCCACAAGGGCAACCCGAAAGAACTCCCGTTTAAAATTTTTGTACGACTGGGAGTAGAGAGTGAACAAGCCACCATCCCTACTCCCACTCAAAGACAAAATGTCGTAGGGCGGTACGCTTATCTTCAGTTGATAAAAATGTAAAAAAACGGGAAGAGACACCTCTGTCCCCAGAACTGTACAAAGGACTTGAAAAGCCCGCAAAAAACCCCAACTGTTAGGGTGCAACTGGCAAGGAGCCGAGTTGATGAATTCCAAAAAATCACACTCAAACTGAGTGAAGGGAAGGCGAACACCTAGGTCCCTAAAGAAATACCAGTACATATAGAAATGGGGACGGTCGGTAGACCCCCCCATATACACACCCTCACCGGCCTGACAGGGTTCAAGCCGGATCATTCGAGAAATGGAGGGGTCACAAATCCGTTGCGATTCCCAAATCGTGTCGACCTCTACGAGCGACCGGAACACCCTTTTGATTCCGGCCACGTCGCGTTTAACCCAGTCGTAGCCAGGAACCCCTGGCGCCAGATCCTTGGGTGGATCACTCTTCTCGACGGCAGCCTTCCCAGCAACCGCCGCCTTACCACACCCCCTACCCCTGCCTTTGGCAGGCGCAGAAGAACCAGCGCCACTCCCACCAGCCATTAAAGAAACAGGAAGACTCGAAGAAGATTTGGGTAAAAAGGGGGAAAGAGAACAGTAGAAAGGAAGTACCTGGTACTCCTCTTCAGAAAATAACCCTACCAACGATGGGGTTACCAGAAACGACAGCGAAAATGGGAAGAACCAAAAGGGAAGATGAACAGGAGGATGGAAGAAACAACGCGCACGAGAAGTTGAAAAGAGTGAAAAATGAGTAAAGTGCAAGGAGGAAAGGCGCGAGTAAGAGACAAGGGGTCCCCCCAAATTCAAACGGCCACAACACGTGTCAATCAGGGGACACACTTGACCACGCATTAAATGAGACTCATTATGGCAAAAGGAGCCATCATTGCATAATCGTCACACCCATTAACGCGCCAGCCTCGGTTACCGAAATGAGAAATGGCGTCCACAAAAAGTCATTTCCCTCCAACAAGCTCGGACTCAACTCCTTGACCTACGGCCTTCAGAGCTCGGGGGGCTAGTGTAATTGTGAAACCAAGCTCCGCGTTCAGTCTTAACCTATCCAAAGGGAAAATCAGAACTCGGAAGGTCACCCACCTCAATTTTTATTTCTTAACTTATAAATTCAGGTAATGTACTCTTTTCCCGCCTCAGCTTTTTCTCCCGCCAAAGAAAAGAGTTATGGGCCAAGGAAAGTTTTAACGAGGCACCTCAGAAATAATCAATGAAGCAACCACACACCCATACATTTCCGGTATTAGCACATCAACCGTGACAACTGACCAAGGTCGAGTTCGAACCTTGTTATACCAAGGTCGAGTACGAACCCCGAGGCCACACTTTCCTAAACAAGGTTGGGCTCGACCCTTGAAGATCACATCTACTTAACAAGGTCAAATTTGAACCTTCAAACAACAAATTTAGGAGCTCCCCAGAGGCCCCTTCACTCTTACAACACTCAGCGCTTGGATAGGGGCAAGTGTGTTGGCCAGCCGAGTCGACATGTCCCTCACCGATCTTACTCGGCCAAAGGTTTATCAGTCGGACCAAGCAATAAACTCATTATTGCCGAATTCCTCAACTCGGCCATGAAATATGGACATCAGAATATCACATCGGCCCAAAGAGGCCACATCGTCAAATAGATAAAAATACAATCCTGTCACCATGCAGCAATCACAAGCACACCGCTCGCGCTTGTCGGGAAGCGAGGTGACACTTATGACACATGGCATCACGAGAGAGAAGCGCACGCCAAGAGTCACGACCCCTGCTCGGTATTAACTCCTCGACCCATGGTCTTCAGAGCTCGGGGGGCTAGTGTACTACCCGTACCGCGAAGCCGAGCTCCAGCTCGGCACCACAACGTAGGACAACCTCGGGCATGCGCTGGGAGATCTCAGTCTAAGCGAGATCCGCTATCCAATCAGATCGTAACTGATCTAAGAGGATCTCGCCCCAGATAAGATATATTATCTAATCATATCTCATCTAATCTAAGGCCCAGGACCCAAAACAACCCTAACTCACACTAAGGTACGTGCATTACATATACGAGACTAATAATCATACAAACCCTAACTTTAGCATCGAAGTCTCTTTTGCAGGTACCACCCCCATCTTGGAGCATCTACGTACCAGCGAAGGAGGCTCACCGATCTTACTGGACTGATCATCCCTACGACCAATTTCCGGTAAGAACACCTATCATTTCTCATTCCAATTGGCCTTCAAGTGCTAAAGTAAATAATGTGATGTAATGTTTTCATTTAATAAATAATCAATTTTCTAGATCACAGAGGAGAAAACTTAAATCAAGCATTTTATATCACACTTACATCTACAATTTTTCGTAATTAATTAAACGGAAGCCTAAAGGCTACAGAGAGAGAGAGAGAGAATTAAGGTAGCACGAAATATAGATTATAAGTCTAAACTAAAAAAAACACATCAAACAAAAACTAACTACAAAATTAATATATAAGTAAGACTGAATATCAAATTCATTAATTAAAAATCAATTGGAAACAAAAACATGAAAATTTAATATGATTTAAGAACGCAATAAAAAATGAAAATCATCACAAAAATTAAAAATAAAATAAAATGAAGAATAATAAAAATTAATTACTACCTACTTTTTTTTTTTTACAGAAATTTGTTGCTTACCTAATTACCTTTGGTGTCGCCAACAAAAATATGATCCATACAATAAGAATGAAAGATTTTATAAAAACACAACTTTTAAAATTAATAATTGAAGAATATAATAAGAAATATTCGACAGACTACACCAAAATATAAAGTAAAAAATAAAATAAAAATGAGAATAGTCGAATAGCTGGCTTTTTTTAGCTTCACGATATGCATGTTAACCTAAACAAATTAAAGAAAAACCAAATAGAGAAAATGAATATATGAAATACGTTAAATTTTGATGTCATGTGATATTTGCCTACATGGAAGAATCTTCTACTTTTATAATATATAATAGATAATAAATTTGATTACAAATTAATTTTCTTAATTGGGTGTTAATGCTACTTGATTTGATACATTAAATATTTAGCTTTAAAATATATTCAATAAAAACATTAATTATTAATTTTATAACTAAATGAAACAAAGTTTTTTTTTTATTATTGTACCTACGAATTCCACCCCCCTCCCCTTTCTATTTTTTATAATTTTTTTTTATTTTTCAACAATAAATATAGATAAAGGGTCAATTCAAATGTATCTTAATTTTTATAATTTTTAAAATTCTTAATTAACATAATCAATACAAATACACAATATAATATAATTTTCAACATCACATAATATATTATTTAATTTAATTTAATATATACATACAAATAATAAATTTAATAACATGTCATGTGTATGAGTGGTTTCATGAGTTCAAAAATCAAAATTCATTACTCAACTCAACTCATACATAAATGAATCTTATTGAGTTGGATTTGATCCAAATAGTTAACAAATTTGAATGGAAATAATTGTGTTAATTTGAATTAGTTCAAATTCAAGGATTACAACTACCATAAAATGCCTAATCACTAAGATCATAACGTAAGTCACATTTGGTTGCATGAAATCCATCAATTGGTGTGGTCTCTTTGTTGGATTTTAGAGATACTTGCAAGTCACAATGAATGATAGGCATGAGCTTGTTTGTTTCAAACCTAAACATAGGGCACAACTTCAAATGAATGTGGTAAACCCCATACATTTTTTGCTTATTCAACTTTGAGATCTGGTTGGTGATGAAGGCCATCACATGTTGACCTCTGAGGTTCATGTGCAACTCACTAAAGCTTTTGTTGAACATTACCACAGTTTGGGAATCAAAGGAGATATTTTGGTACATCATACTTGCATCTATGTAGTCATAGTAGACGGTGTGAGAGATTGAGATGTTGAGGATGAGGTTATAGTAAAGGGTATTTTTAGTGTAATTGAATTCCGTGAGAGTAGCATTCATCACAGAAACATTGACCTTATCATCTCCCAAATATGATAAATAGAAGATCAAAGGAATGATCACAGAAATCGTTCCCCCGATGAGGCCAATGGCCCATAAGATGAGCCATTGACATTTTGTTTGAGGAAATTTAGTCATGACTTGTAGTATATAGAAACAATAAGCTTCTTATATCTATTTGCTATTGTACTATGATATTAAAGTAGTGTAGCGTGGTAAGGGAGCCACAATAACTATCTATATATAGTAAGAACAACAATCAAACGTAGTTAAAGTATTTGAAGTAATTTTTTTATATAAATATTTGTGTGTTATTTAATTATATAAATATCAAAATTATAATATCAATATCATCAAAAGTTTGAAATTTGAAAATTATACATCATATAATATATTTGAAATTAAGAGTATTATGACAATACAATTCTTTTAATTCACATATACACAATTACATTTTACATAAATTTAAATTTAATAACCTTATATGTTAGAAATTTATAGTTATATACCTATTTTTAATTTACATGTTTATGATATTTTGAATATTCTAATTCTAAATGGGATATGAGGAAACCGAAATAATAAGATAATTAATTCATAATCATCTTAAATATATAACAATTGATTAAGTAAAATGTTTTTAAATTTTGATCACTGGATAATTGAATATCGTAATTATGAAAATTATTTCAAAATTTTAATAAATTAATTATTAAATGATTAAAATGAGTCCTTTTAATGTTAATTACTATATTATATAAAATTAAAAATTATATAAGATTTAATAATCATTTACTGTAATGATTTAATTTATTAATTTAATTATAATTATGTCTTACACTAATATAAATTTATTATTTTCCGAATAATTGATACGTGTTTAATAAATTAATATATTGATTTAATCATTATTATTATTATTATATATGTGTAATGATTTGATTAATTAATTGAATCATGATTTACGTGTATGTAACGATTTAATTCGATTGATTAATCATAATTGACATGTGCATGTGATGATTTTAGTTATAATTGATGTGTATTTCTTTTTATGTATATGAATGCATATGATATTTAAAAATCAAACTATAATTAAATTTGCTACACAAAATCATTCATTAATAATTTTAGTAGTGTAAATATTATATTAAATCTAATTAACATTATACAATTGTCTCAATTCATTTCTTTAAATTGAATTTGTTTATTAGTAATCATGAGATGATTTTGCTTTTAAATATTACCCAAAAGATCTTTCAACCAATGAAGATAACTGTGTATATAAATTCATGTTCATCCTCTCGTTTGCACGATGTGAGACTTTGCTTGTATCCCAACAATTCTTTTGATTAATAAACATTAAAAAAATATTAATTTTAAATTTAAGAGACTAAAAATTAATTAAATTATTAACAATATATAAAAATTAGAGCACTTAATATATATATATATATATATATATCCACAAATATGTGGAACAATTTATAAGAAATTGCTCTAACTTAACTATTGATGTTAAGTTCAAATATACAATAAGAATTTTAAATTGTTTTTTAAGAAAAGATATATGCTGTTATAAAAAAATATATAATAAAAATAAAAGTGGATATTAAAACGATAGCTGAATTTACTACATCTATATGAGAAAACAGTAACGAGATAATGATTCGATGAGGTGTAACATTTGTACTGTTTGCTACTTTGGAGCGTGACATGTTCAAGAGGTAAAAAACAAGCATAGGAATAGGGGAAGTGCTTGTCGCAATGCATCTAAAATATGAATATTATATATAACTCACAACACAAAGAAATTAAAAATAAATCCCATAGTTAATGCTTGCCGATACAAAATCTCCACTTTGAATTCATTTAATTATTAACCAAATTAATTACTTGATAAGTTGATAAGAGTAATTAATTATTTAATTGTGTAAAAATAAGTAATTATTCAATATTTTAAAACATATTCGACTAATACAACCACCGAAGTCGTCGGTCTGTAGTGAGAGATTAAAATATATGTTGTATATCAACTTAAACTTTGGTTTCTATTATCATTGTTGTAACACTTTCTTTTGATAAGAAAAATTACTATACAAAGATATAATTACAAGAATAATCTATTTAAATTGTCTACGAGACTAATTACTTTAGGTCTTGTTAATTAGTGTTTAAAAATATTTGTTAAGAAATTAAAAGTGATTTTTTTATTAAGAAATTACATTACAAATTATGAGAGTTGCAGCTAATTAATAATATTTTTTTTTCATTTTTAGTTCTTTGATTATTGTCTCAGCCCTTAGATACTCATACTATACATGCTGTTTTTTTTTTTTATAGATATAATTAGGAAGTAATTATATACTAATTTTTTTTATACAACTAGTATATAACTCTCACTTATTAGATTGACAAATATTAAAGATAAAATAATACTTTCAATTGTGATTGTATATTAAAACAATAATTAATCTCGATTCTTATTAAAGGACATAAATTTTAAATTATTTGTGTTAATTTATACTAAATACTAATTAATGGAGCATTTTATTGATTTGTATTTGGTAGTGTGCGGTGACTTAAAATTATTGAATAAAAACATAAGTGATGTTGATAAAATATTAATGTTTGGGGTAGTGTGTGGTGTGCAGCATTGGTAAGCTAGGGTATGGTGAAAGTGTAGATTAAATAGTGCATGGCCTCAGCTGTAGCACTTTCTTCTGACCTTTGTCCTTTCCCTGTGCCATCCCATCCCATCCCATCCCCCATTAATTCACTACTTCATCACCACTGCTCCTGTTTACACATCAGAACAATCAATTACGGTTACAAAGTGTTATCACTTGTCACACATGACATGGCTAACCAACGATACACTAATGGCCAAATAAGTACTCTCTTGTCTTTTCTTCTGGTATCATATCATTATGTTACCAGGACTATAAGCTCCTCTTAGCGTTACCAACCACTTATTTCAATATTAGATGTAAGGCCAGGGCAAAAATTTCCGGCCAATCTAGAATTGACCAGATCAATGGTCAGATCCGAAATAGATTTGAATGGTTAAACTTGATGTTGGAATTTTTTCATACAATGTACTCGAATTTGACCATTTATTTTCTTCGTTTTTATCGTTCCATTTTCTTTTACTTCTTCTTCATCTATTTCACACATCAGCTTTTCTTTAACCTTTTTCAGTCATGGCCACTGTTAATGAGAAGTTCCCTGTTCCTTGCTCTGGTTGACGAGGATGGTAATGTGAAGATTTAAAACTCAGTGATTACTCTCAACTAAGCAGTAACAAAGACTGACGAGGGGTGATGACGAAGGACAGCACGACGTTAGAGAAAGTTTCTCAAATCGATGAACCCAATAAACCTATAACCCGCACAGATTGAACCTACCAAAATCTGAGTTTTTCATCGGTTGGAAATGGCCCTTGATTTTTTTTATTCAATTTCGAAGGATTTTAAAAATTTTGATCAGAAACCGGCAATGGTCGACCGATGTTCAGGTCTATTAGATGTATCACTCTGCCTTGCTGTTGCTGGCAACCCAATTGAAAGTCATGCTTTAGTTAATAAATTACTAGTTTACTGGAGTTTTATTTATTTAATACCCATAAATATCGTATACTAGGATAGACATGTTTAGTAATAAAGTTGCTTCAATGTCAAGGTAAAAATATGTTACAAATAAAAACTAATATTAGACACACTGCACTGAAAGGACTAAGGAGCAAAAGATTACCAGAGTAAAAGGCTTGAACATTGCTTGTATGATAGTCATTCAAATTTGTTTAGAGACTAATGAATGTTGCTCTTGCATAATTTTCTATGAATGTGGGTGTATAATGTAACTCTCCCAACCAATTGAGAAAACCAGAAAAAGAAAGTACCTAGACATCTCCGAAAGAAACCAAACAATTTCACAAACAAGCAAAGCAAAGAGTGTGAGAGACAAAACATGTATGTAAACATTGACAAAAGTTCATATTTCATTGTGAACCATTACATCAGATGACACAAAAACTTTACTCAGCAATCTCTTCCAAGAGCAACCCAACAAAGATGAAAAAGTTTCTGGAACAGAATCGCCATCACCATCATCCTCACGCTCACTCTCACTAATCTCATAACCCGGAGTAACAACCACAATCTCAAACACACCATCACCATCACTATCAACAGAACCCAATTCAGAATCGCTACTCACCACCACAATAGGAGCTCTACAAATTGGACAATTGCAGTGCGAACTCAACCACATGTCAATGCACTCCACGTGGAAAGCGTGTCCACACTTTGGCAAACTCCTTCCAACCTCACCCTCTTCAATGAGGCTCAAACAAATAACGCATTCCAATTCCTCTGTTTCTCCTGTTTCCCCTGATTCCTCTGTTTTCTCTGTTCCGTGCACAAACATGGGAATCGCCGAAACTGTCGCCGAGTCGAGGCCTTTGGTGCACGTGGGTGAGGATTCTATGTTGATGCTGTGGAAATGAGAAGGTTCCAGAACGCCGGAGACGGTCGCCGGAGATTGCCGCCGGCGAGTGTGGGAATGTAATTGCGCCTGAGACAGGAACCACCTGGCGTACACGTGGAGTAGGAGGACGAAGAGGATGACTAGGAGCAACGAAACTATGGCTGCGAGCATGATGTTGCTGTTGTTGTCGTCGGAGAACATGTTCTGAGCGAGTTGACTCAGTGAGTAGCCGGGTGACTCGGACTGACTCGGCATTGTGAGAAGGGAGTGAAGTCAGTGTGGTTTGCTTAAATGAGGAAAAGGGTAGATTATTTTTTATGAAAGGCTCGAGCTTTGAACTTAAAAATGAGATTTTGGGAGGAGGGTTAAGGTACCCCACAAAACACAGTCAACACTCGGTTTGTGCAGTGTTGTGTTTTGTTTTGTTGTTCTTCTGCTTGTGATGTCTTTGCAACTTGTTGTGAAAATGAAGGGAGTAATAAATTAGGGATATCTGTTGAGGGTTGCAATTGAAGTCAAAGGAGAATCCCTATATCAAAGGAAGTAATGGGGACTCATGCATGGGGTGGAGGAGGGGTGAAGAGAAAAACGGGTCACAAATGAAGCACTCGTGAAGGCAACGGCAGTGGAGGGTAGGTGGATTTTATTGGATTCATGTGGCAGGTTTTTGTTTATTTATTTGCGGTTTTAATCGGTTAAATTTGGTGCAATAAAGGGTCCTAAGGCAAAGGCATTATTTATGATTTTATGAGACACAAAATAAGATATTCATAGTAAACCTAAGTCAATCATGAAAAAGGGAGGCACCCCTCCACAATTTCTTCACTTTCACATTACTCATTATCATTTTAGGGCCTTTCATGCATTTATTAGAACTTTGGCAATATTAGAGGGGGTGCTGTGTTTTGCTTGGTAGGGCATAGTGTGGGACCCAATTCCTGTTTTAAAGAGATCAACGAGAGTTCAGGGGTCCCATGTGAATGGTACCATACGCTATAGCCTATAGGAGTTTTATTTATTTTTTTCTTTGACCACCCTACCACAGCCACCAGTCAACAGTAGATCTTTGCATAGATTCCACCATATTTTGTTGCATGTTTCCAGCAATGGATCCATCTCTTTTTCAGTTTTTAGAGTGTGCCGAGCTTGCAGTGTAGGCTTGCAGTTGCAAAAGGTCCACTTCCAATACACCACCGAAATTAATTCATATAGGTTTTATTGAGTTGGAAATCATTACGTATGTTTTATTTGTTTATTTATTCTTAAAATTATTAATTTTTATTATATCACTCTACGATAATAAGTTAATTAATTGGACTTTTTATACAAATTTAATGACCCATACACATAATTTAAAATACTGCTTAAAGTTTTCTATTTTGAGAAGTATCACACTAATCACTTATATAGAAATTTACATAAAAAAGGGAAAATTTGTGGTTTTTTTTTGTTGGTCTGCAAATGTTGAGACCCCGAACCTACTATCTCTCAGGTTAGACCAGCTTTTCCATATTTTCAGCTGGAGATGTTGGTCCAAACTTGTTTATTTAAATTTTTGTTCACGAGTTACTCTATTCTAGAACACAATATTAAGAATCCCAGCATTTCAACCATGCAGTGGATTTGCAGAATGTAACCAAACAGCAGGAGGATATATATTTGAGCGGAAAAAGGTAACAGGAAGAAGTGAAGATGATACAAGTCGAGTAAAATAAGTATTCTATTTGTTTTGATGTCCAAAATTCTTCAAATTAGAAACTAAAGAATGCGCCCATAAAAAAGGGTTTTAGAATATTACAATGTACATGATAATCATAATTTATTCTAAAAAAAAAAAAAAGTTCACTTAAATCTATTCTTCCCTCCAGTTATTCATTTCAGTCCATTAGTTTGTATCTTTTCTCTTCCACGCCTGTAACTCCCAATTGTATCTCTATTATCGTATGGAGGGGCACCTGTAAGTGAACAAACCTCACATTAGACATCTTGTGCAATTTCATGATCCACACTAAAACATTTCACAAAGTGAGATGGTGAACCTCACAAATTTTCTTTTTTCCATCAACAAAATTACTAGAACTCATTTCTTAAATATTTGCCATGAACTCAATCAGGCTTTTGCATCACATTCAGCTAAATATGAATATATTACCTCTATATCAGCAATTTCTTTCAAAGGCCTGTCAGTAAAATATGCATATAATGCCCTCAAAACTGCCTGTAATGAGAAAAGCATTGAAGAAACTCATCAATTAGAACAAGTCAAAGGGTCAATACAAGTGCAAATTTACATCAAAGTCATGTGTAAAACCTGGTGGGATATCACAACAACAGGCGCTCTTTGTCGCTCAAGCTCGATAATTACAGGTTCTAACCTGCATTTTTATTGAAATTTAAGTTATTTAAATAAAACTAGTAGTTTATGAACTAAGTAATGTTAAAAGAAGTAATGCATCAACCTTTGAATAACATCTAAGTAAGACTCTCCACGAGGATAACGATACCTAAGCTTGTCCTTATTGCGAGATCTGCAATAGAAAATAACAAATAGGTACTTAGAACATTTTTAAATAGCATTGTGCTCCCACGAAGCACCTGCTTTTTATCTGATTATATACCAAGTTGCTTTCAACTGGAAACGAGACAGATTACAAGTTTGTGACATACTCATACTCCTCTGGCATGTTCTTCTTGATTTCTTCATACGTCATCCCATCGCACACACCAGCATTTATCTCATCAAGTGCACGCCATTGTATCTAACATATAGATAGCAAGTGTTGGAGCATTAATAATGTATACATGGTCAATCCATATTTCCCGACTTAAGGATGAGTCTAACCTTTGGAAATCCAACAATTGGACCTGCTGTCAAAATTGTTCGCTGCAGTGTACTAGTCCATATCTAGACACCAGTTACAAACATCACAAGCCATTCATCATTTGAATATTTGCACGTATATTTATTATAAGCTTACACAAGCAGCTCGTTCTGATTTGAGACGCTTTTCAACGAATTTGGCAAGCTTCTTTTTATAAAGTTCTCCAGCTTCACTGTTGAAACAAGTAATTGGTTCTAGTTAGCAAGCTGAAAATTCATAGCAATTATTGTTAAAGAAACCTGATATCACAAATGGCCAAAAAGAAATAATTCAAATATAGAGGAACCAAAACCATTTCACCGTTTCTCTTTGCATGAAAGCTGTTTAAAAACAAATCAATTGTCCATTAAGTAAAGAGCTCTTTGTATTTTTCTTCTCTTTGCATGAAAGCTGTTTAAAAACAAATCAATTTTCCATTAAGTAAAGAGCTCTTTGTATTTTTCTTTTCCGCCAATTGAGGGTACACCCAAAGTCCAAACATAGTAGTACTACAAAGAGAAACCCCTAGCAATATGAAAGAAACAAAAAGTAATACCTGACAGCACAAAATCTGTTAGTTTTAAAAGATAAGATGTATCATGAGTACCAAAAAGATATGCTAGAGCAAGACAAAAAAGCCAAGAATTAGGGTCCTTTGTTGACGCTTTAAAAAAATCAATTCTATGATATAGCTCTTCCTAGAGCTTTTTTCAGAAGCTATTATGTTTAGCTTCTGAAAAAAGCACCAATTTCTGGGTTTTTTTGGGAAAGCTTACATAAGTATTATCACTTTTTAAAATTTTTGCAATTAAAAACACTTTTTTAAAAAAATTGTAAACCAACGAGCCCTTAGTTTTCACTAATAAACAAGGCCGGACTGTTTTAATCAGTCTTAAATAAACAAGGACTTCACTGCCTAACAATGCCAGAGAAAATAAACAATAACTTTACTGCAATAATCATCGTTCTATAGATGATACATCTTATCGTTTATAACTAAATGGACTGCATTTATATCTTCTTCTAACCAAAGAGAAGGTACAAAAGTATACTTCTCTTTAAACTAATATTCTAGGTCAAGTACAAGTATAGTACAACTACTAAAAGCCAATAACAGTCTTCAAGTCTTATCATAAAAACACAAAATAATTAAGATTCTTAATATTCTAACAGTTCCTCGTATAAGCAACACAGAAACAGCGGTTATTATTTTCATTCATACAACTACTTTTTCTAACCCTATGACCTCATTAATATTAACATTACATTGAATAGAGACATTAACCAAATATATACCTTAATGCAGAGTCTCCTCCAATTCTGCCTCTCACATTATCCTGGCTTTCTCCATGCCGGGTGAGTAATATTGGGCGTGGTGTAAGATGTGTATTAACCTGCAACATAAATTAATCAAAGACGCTTACAATTGATTTGAAGTACCATTTTCTGAATGCATGTCATTAATCTTTTATCAAAAAACCCATTATATGAGGAAGTTAAGCAAAAATACACTTTTATCCATAGTGTTTGGATGAGAACTTTTAAAAGAGTAATTCATTTCTGTTGGTGAACTTAAAATGTTTTATGGTGAAATATTTTGTTTAGATAGCAATTTAAGAAAAAAATTAAAATTCTACCAATTTGTGAAAGTATTTTGATTACTTAAAATTGTAAAATTTTAAATTGCATTTAAAAAATTAAAATTTGAAAATTTTCATATTTTCTCTTTTATCTCTCCTCTATATCTCTTCTCTTCTCCATTTCACGCCTCCACCAACCCACCTAGACATGTGCATTGTCTATACTTCAAGCCCAAAGAATTCATGTGGGGGGATGTGTTATATAAGTACAAACCCATTTCATTGACCAAATACATAAATAAACACAATCACTCATGCTTTCATTTAATAGCTTAAGCTTTTTGTATAGGTGGTCCATGAAATTTCTCAATATTGTCTTACTGGGTTATATATTATTAATTTAATCATTTGTTTTTCTTGCCTGTGTATCTATGAAGCTTTGACAGTAATTAATAACATTCTTCAAAGAAACTTACCAAGAAAAAAACTATCCGGCCAGGTACATAGCCACTGATATTGTTCACCTAAAACAAAAGATAGAACTTGTGAATCATCAACAAACTAAAGTCATGCTGTAGACCACATTTCTAAATGGTTCGAGAAAAATTCAAGGAGATGCACAAACAAGAAATTTCAGAGTATTAGAGTAGCCTCCCTAAATAAATTTTTAATGAAATTATCTTATTATCACTTGTGGTTAAACAACGTCAGACAGATAATTTGTACATTACACTTGTCATAAAGTATATGACTATGGTGTAATGCAACATTTTGGTCCTCTTTCACGCTCCAACTAAGCAACATGAACTCATTGTATTATTCTATTTACAATACAGTTTATATATACATATATACATATATACATTACTACATGGCACAACTTTGAAATTGAGTGATTCGTTGACATGGTATCTTAACTTGATCAACCAAGAGGCCCAGGGTTCAATAATTATTTAAAGCCTAATTCTTTCGATCTGATTCTGATCATAAGTTTGTCACTCAAGAAACTTTAGAACTGATTAATGAGTCTTTCTAATTTGTCTGTTTTATAACGTGTTGTATAGTTCTGATACTGGTAAGTGATCTGTATATGCCTTTTGAACACTGATTCTTTGCAGAACAGGCACGCTTTCAATTCTACACTTGCAGCAAACTGAACCATGAAATAATAATTAAAACAGGCACAAAGTGGAATCAAGGACACTGTATTTAAATTTAAAAGTTATTTAAAGTTAGAGGAGAAAGTGAAACCCCGCCATTTTCCCACACCAAGGTTAAACTACTAGAATCTATTTAAAAAAATTACTAACCCAATCAACAGCTACTCTATGGACAAGCATACATATCAATTATCAAACTTACATTAGTAGCAAACCAGACAATGGGCTCTATAAAAGGGTTCAATTCACCACATAAAATGACATAATTAAAGGTAAAACTTACTTGTATTTGCCCTCCATGTCCACTGGCCATGTCAATCATTTTTATGTAAGATCCTTCTTCTACTGTCTCATAAACCTGGTATATGAAATCAACATTATTTAAAGCAAAAGCTCACCTCGAATAAGAATTAAAATTAGAAGTACATATGAAAGGCTTGCCTTCTCATAATTGGCTACACGTTCTTTGAAGTCTCGCAACCCAGCCTCGAAATCTGGTCTGCAAAAGAGAAGATGATTGCATATGAATCTACTACTCCACATACTCATTAGGATTAGGTGTCACTGGTTTTAAAGGAAACATTACACATCTGCATAGTCAGGACTTTGCTGAATTTTAAAGCGTATATTCCTCTCAATTATCTCTACATCATTGCATATCGTTTCCAGAAAAATGATCTGTAACAAAAATGCAAATATACATCAGAAAAGTTCAAAATGAAAACTTTTATTTTCATACCATACATATTACATAGCAGTACCCATATGTGGGACTCTGACTAAAGTACCTTGCATCTACCTTCAGCTAATTTCATCAGCATGTTTCTTCGTTGCTTGCTACTGTTTGTGGCATCAAATATCCCAACCTAAATCCAAATTAAAACTTAAGCCAAAAAAATATGGGGAAAAAAAAACTTGAAAGAGGTTTAAAGTAAAAAGGTTATTTAACAAGAATGAATTTACCTGGCCTCCTTCTTGCATCCATGATATCATATCTTCAAATGCCAGCTTTGCTACCTAGTGATACATGATATATTAAAACTATGTACATATAAAAAGATCAACAAGGAATTAACATTACTAGAATCATCAAAGACAAATTGCCAGGTACAGTGTACACATCTTAACATTTGGTATAAGAAATACATTTTGTATTTATTATGTTCATTATATAAATATGGAGTACATGGTGTAGTTGAGATGCGATGAATCAAAACCAAAACAGTAACTCAGGTCTTTCTGAAAGACTATGAAATTCATATAAGAACTTGTTCCTAAAACATTTATTCTCCTACATGTACCAGATCATTGGTCTAAATAATTTTAACACAAGTGAATCATTTAAGCACTTATGTATAAATTGTTTCTATAGTTAAAAGTCAAGAGTCTAAAGATAAATTAATTGAATGTTATAAGATTGTATAAAGTCTTCATCTAACTAAGGTTTTGTTTGGGTAAATAACTTAATTAAGCACTTATTGAATAAGTACTTATCATTTAAGTACTTATGTATAAATTGTTTCTATAATTTAAAAGGAAATAGGGTTAAATTGTTTTCATATAAGTTGTAAGTTGTTTTTAATAGCTATCCTAGAAAGCTTATTGAAATAATTTGAACACAACATCTGGACATATTATGAATTATTTTCATAAGTTCTTTCAAACAGTTACACTTACGCAAGTGCTTATACCATTAAAAAAGTTTAAATAAATTGTAAATACACTATTCCAAACACATAGTAACTACACACATCTATGACCTAATTATACACAACCAATATAAATTACCCTTTCACATGTTCAAATTAAAAATATTATTGGCCAGAAGTTACCTCGTTACGTGCCTCCACACCTTCAGGATTGTCAGCTCGAAAGAAATCAGCAGACTGCAAAGAAGAACGTGACATGAATTGAAAATTATCCTCAAAAGCATGAATCGTACCATAACATCAAGAATGAAACTGACATATAACATGGAATCAAGCACCCCATATTAATCACATGATGTAGCACAATTTAAAAGTTGATGACATTGCAAATTATGAGAGATTATATCATAGAAATGGTGATGTTAGATTTAACAAAATTATTTTTAGGGTAACGCCCCAGACCCCAGTACTCTTTTGACTTTAGTGAAGAGGCACTATTTTGAGTTATGAGATCAAGGGGTTTGTGAGTTATGGACGAAGATCATACTTAACAACCAAAGAATGAAGTAGGAAATTCCTATGAAGCTATTTTGCACCAATAAGTCTGCCATTAGCATTGCACATAACCTAGTTCAGCATGATAGAAGGAAGCACATATAGATACCAACATTTCATGAAGAAGTTAGATAGTAGTTTTTTTTATCTACAGCATACATTCCTTCATGGCTTCAATTGGCAGATGTATTAACCTAGGAACTTCCCACAGTAATTTCAAGATCTTACTAGCAAGCCAGGAACGATAGATCCACCAACTTGAGGGGAGTGTTGTGTGGCACAATTAACATAAGTAGCACTTAATTGTTTCTATTGATTTCTCGTATTTCCTGTAATTAGAGTAGATCTTATTAGAGTTTTTATTTGTAGTTCGTACTTTGTACAAATTCTAACAGATTTGATTTCCCTGTATTTCCATTATTAGGAAATATAAGAATTAGTCTATAAAGTGTAAGCACTGCTCGTATTGTTAATCAACAGAAAATAATATACCAATTCACAAATTTCCATATTTCAGGTATGCCCATAATTTCATTCATTGACCGGACTCTTTAAGGAATAAAAAAGTCGTGAAACCAGCAACACATCTAAAACCAATATAAAGTCCAAAGAACATCAACAACTGTTGGCCTCCTCTGTAGAGTGAATTCCCTGGTATTTCAAATCACTGTTCTTCCATCCTTCATATTGCATTTGCTAAAAGATTATTCTATGAATCCATTTTAGGCACAAAATTATTGTCAAATCTAACATCTGGAAACGGGTGTCCTAGGTGTGAATGCGTGTAGCACTATTACTGATGTTGAGAAGACACAACTACAAAGAATCAATAACTAAATGTCACTAGTTCAACTTAACTAACTGCCTTTTTCTTTTAAACTCCAATAATCCTTATTGCATCCTCAAATCAACTACTAGAACCCATACATGTCACTCATTAAAATTTGGAAAAATAACAATCTCTAGATAAAGAAATCTTAGACACTGGAATTATTTTCACCTACCAAATCCTCTACAATCTACACAAAACACGAACCATATCAATTCTTATGACAAACAATATAGTACATCATGCAATAAGAGATACATGATACATCTAACATTAATTAAAAATAATACAATATATATATATATATGTATATATAATATCAGAACAGGTTTATACACTAATGACAATATTCTGCGATTTCAGTCTATAGAATGTAGATAAACAATACATGAGAGAGTATAAACAATTCAATAGATTCTTCTTAATTAAGTTTACCTGACTAGAACCATGCTTAAGGCGACGATACTGCAACATTGAAACATGCATTAAATTCCCGTTTGACATATTTCCTGTCTTCCATTAGATAAAACAAGACTATTGATTACTAAGAAGAATGGGTTGAGAATGTGAACAACCTTACCAACATTGAAGTGTTTGGTATTATGACCTAACCATCGAAGATATCTTGTAAGTTTAGCTGCAGTGTAAGTCTTGCCTCGAGCAGGCAAACTCACCTAAGAAAAAGAAACTAGTAAGAAATTATTCATATTTTTACTAAATTAGGTTAACTAACTGCAGAGGGGAGTGTGGCATTTTTTCTAAGTGCTTCCAAATTCTAACCTCTCAAGATATATTATCTCATTTTGAATCTCACACAAAACTCCAACTCAAAGCCCAAAACAAAGAAATAACAAAGTGTTGCTAAGAAAGTTTAAGAGTACTTATTCCTCGAGCAGGAACAATACCATGACAATTGCCAAATGCCTATGCTCCTTGGGACCTAGCATCTGATCAGCAATCGCAGCAGCTGCAACAGCTCCAGCAGCAGCTGGAATTGAACTCTGTCATAAAACCCAGAGGGGGGAGCAGAAGCAACTATTTATTAATAACCTTAATTGAAAAGTTTGATGCAACATAAATTAATCCAGTGGAAATAAATTTTAATAAAAAATGGAAATAATTTATACAAACCTCAGGATTAGTATCCAAATTAAGATTAGCGAAAGTATTTGAACTAGAAGATTTTACAAGTCTGGGAAATCCAACACCCCTATCAACAAGAAGTGCTCTCTGGTCATCTTTGTTTTGCAGAGGAGAAATTGTTCCCACAGACTGAGATTTAACCATTCCAGGACTTTGGTACACCTTAGATAGATCAAGGGCATTAACCTCCATCAACTAGTTGGAACATCAACATAGCTTATTAGATGTGAATGTGATATATTGCATAATCAAGAATCAATATAACCCATCAGCTTACTTTTTCTCATAACCTCAAGAAGAGGCATTTTGCATTTTAAACAACATTTGTGCAGCTACTTGTTAGTTATAAAATACAATGCCTAATTTCACGAAACTGGTAATGCAGGAAAATATATAAGAAAAAACATAATTATTAGCAACAAACATACAGCTCCAGAATAGGAGATATTTTCTCTAAATTAGAGATACTTTCCAACACTTTTAACAAAGTTTTAGTCACTTATCAAAGGAAAACAGAGAGAGGGTAAAATCAACATGTTACTGATTATACTATGAAGCATCAAAAAACTAGTCTAAGTTGATATGTTGAACATGAGAATCTACTTCCTGAACAAATTAAAGCCTTTTAAGGTGAATGCAACTACAAATCCATCACAGCTTCTGATTCTGGTAAAAAGACTTCTAAATATGTCAACAAATAACCACAAAGATTCAGCAAAGTTATGTCAAAATGTCTTATCTCTGGCCTGATTTTATATGTTTTTAAACCAATCATTTTTAGAAAGTATAATCATGAATTATAAATGTGAATTTGAAAGTTAAACCTTTACTGTTGCCGGTTGATCGATCATAGGAACACAGCCATCTCCAGTGGAAGATGAAATGCTGGCAGATACACTACCTAGTGATCTGGGATTCTCAGTCAAGTCGGCAGCATATACATGCGCTGAACTTGCAGAATTTGATGGAGATGGGACAATATACTGCTCAAGATCCAGTTCCAAACTTGCAGATGAGATGTTCTAAATAAAAAAAGAAAAAATTAAGCATGGGGTACATGGTAATTGTTAATTAAAAAGTCATTTTATATATGTATTAACTGAAAGTTGGAATAAGAGAAAATAGGAGAGCATATAAAGGGCATCAGATAAGATACATGATCAGACAAGTTATTGTACATCGGTAATGCAAGATACAGACTACAAGAAACTATTGGGTTTTGCCTGACTAACCACTTGACAATAAACATTTTGCATTATCAAATTAGAAAAATACTACAGAACAAATTAGAGGTCCATGAACAGAATGACAACTAAAATTGGCTGGCATTAAAGAAAAATCCTGAGTCCTGACCAGTGCTCTCACGACTAAAAAGAGAAATTAATTAATCGTGCATCAAAAAGAGGAGAAATTAATTGGACTATCATAGTGTGCATGGTTTGAAACTATTTTCATTTTGCACAAACAGTAGAAAAACATTGATTAGAGCAAAGTGTGATTTTATGATTAGGCATCAGGAAAAGCATATTAAAGAGGGAGAGAGAGAGAGAGAGAGAGAGAGAATGAAAATCATTGACCTCTAAATCGTTCTTAATGGTTTCACCTCTTGATTTTCTTGGTCTCCCTCTACCTCTAGTGATAAGAACCATAAGGCTACCCTCCATATAATCTACTTTCCTTACTAGGGCTTCAATAGGTCTTTTCCACACACAGCCAAACCACATAAGGTGAGATTTTACTGTTTTTTCTATTATAGGTACTACATTAGTACCCCAATCTTCTTTCCGATGCATTCATTCTTAATCCTATCTAGTCTACTATGTCCACACATCTAACACAACATTCTCATCTCTATTACACAGTTTATTTTCTTGTTGGTTTCTAATGGCCCAACACTTCATTCCGCATGAGATCGCAGGTTTATAGCAATACAATAAAACTTTCCTTTAAGCTTGAGTATTACCTTTTTGTCAAAAAGAATCAATGCAATCCTACATTTCATCCACACCTCCATTAGATCTCATTGATGTAAAGCAAAAATAAGGTGATTTTTTTTTTTAATGTTAGCATCTATATTTCAAAATAGAGATTAAGAAAAATGTAACTTTCTTAAAGAGTCCTGAATCCTGATTATTAATGTCATACACCCATTACACCACCACAACCACAACCTCATTTCCAAGCCAAAAAACAAACATAAAGTAAACCAATAACTGAAGTCTTACCTCACTACATGTCTGAAGTTCTGAATTTATGCTGACATCAGGTACCCCACGTACAGTCGAAAGACGGAAATTGTCCTCATAAGCCCTCCAACTAGCTGCAAGATCAAAAGGAGAAACCCTTTTTGCTTCCACAAATACTCGATACTCAAGAACTTGATCGTTATCAAGCCTAAACAAAGCTAGTCTGTCACCATCTTGCAATGCTCCCCCAATAAGTACTCGGCTTGGACCCTCCTCAACAAAACAAGGCATATTGATGTCCTTGGGCTTCAAAAGGAACTTAAACTCTAAAGCTTCTGAAAATCCCAAGCAAAATCAACACTTCAAGTCAGAAATGCAGTCTACTCAACCCCTTTCACTTCAGCAGGACAATTATCATAACTAAACAGCCAGTGCAAGTGATGAAACCAATAAAGCTATCACTCAATGCTCAGAGCAGACTTTCCAGTTTTCAATTTTTTTTTTTTAATTCTTCTCTCTCTTTTACACAAACCTTACAACCTAAGGCAAAGCAAGTGAGAAAACATTACCGTGGTTAGGTGGAACAACAAAGCTGAATTCCCACACTGAAGCTGATTCCCGTTCCATGGAAAGCTGAAATTTTTACACCAAAAACAATATGAATAAGAAGAAGTGGGAGAGACCCAGAATAAAAGGAATGCAATGGTGAAGTGGGTTTCCCCTCCAGCAGGACAATTATCATAACAAACCAGCCAGTGCAAGTGATGAAACCAATAAAGCTATCACTCAATGCTCAGAGCAGACTTTCCAGTTTTCAATTTTTTTTTTTTAATTCTTCTCTCTCTTTTACACAAACCTTACAACCTAAGGCAAAGCAAGTGAGAAAACATTACCGTGGTTAGGTGGAACAACAAAGCTGAATTCCCACACTGAAGCTGATTCCCGTTCCATGGAAAGCTGAAATTTTTACACCAAAAACAATATGAATAAGAAGAAGTGGGAGAGACCCAGAATAAAAGGAATGCAATGGTGAAGTGGGTTTGAATCAAAATTACAGCTTTTGAAGGATCCCAAGAAGGGCCTAGTGGGAAAGAGGCAGATACGTGAGGGAGAAGAGTGAGATTGGGATTCTCCATCTTCACTGAAACATAGAGCAATCCCGGGATTCGTAACGGTGATTGGTGAAGGCCATCTTGGTCTTCTTCACTATTCCCCACCATGCTTTGCAGCTGAAACTGAAAGGAAGGTTTTGTTGTGGGAACGATGTGTTTGTGTTAATATTATATGCGCATCAAAATTCCTTATCCAAGACTTCAAAGTGTCTAACTGTTCTCACTGTGATATGTGATATGTGATATGGAAAGAGAGAATATAAATTTTAAAAAGGACAAAATCCTATCGAATAATTAATTATGTTTGTCAAACGATTTGTTTAAAATAAAGTAATAATGAATTATATTTAATGATTTTTTTTTCATTTAAACACACTATTATTTTAAGCATGTGTATATATATAATTAAAATTTTATAATAAATTATATATAAAAAATTATGTTTAAATATATAAATTGTATTTAAAATTTATATAAATAAATATTTTGAATCATATAAATTATATATTTTTTATGATAAATAATTTATATTGTAAAACTAAGTTTATTTTTATTTATTGATAATTTATCTTAAAATATTAATATTTAACTCATAAATAATTATGATAAATAAAATTTGAATTAAATAAGTTAAAAAATCTTCAAAAAAATATTTAATCGAAGAAAAATCCCTAAAAATACTCATATGCAAAATAAAGATTTATATTTAATATATAAAAATTGATCTTTTATCTTTAAAGTTTAGATTAATTTAATTTTTTAAACTAATAATTATTTTTAATTTTGTAGCATAATTTTGATTTTTTTCTGATTAATTGAAAGTGTGAAATTTATCTAATTAAATTATCATGTATGAAAAGGATCGTACTTAATCAATGTTTAAACAAACTTGAGAATGACTGGGTGAATGCACATTTTACATGAAAGCTATAGAAACTTGTCTCAAATTGTACTATTTTCATAAATAATTTCCTGAATGCACCATTTTATGTAACTACGTTTTATAATGAAAAATATAATTTTAACTATTAAAAGATATATAATTAATGAATATAAGATGTTTGAAATTGTAAAAGAAAACAATGTCTATACTTTAGTTAAATAATAGTTTTAAAATTTTAAAGAAGAAAAAAAAAATGACATGTCTTTCTTTAAAGAATGAAATTAAGTAACTTCCAATAATCATGAAGAGATCTTTCCTAACTAAAATGATGTTGTTTATTGGGAGACAAAAAACTGAAGAGAGAAACTTGAGTTCAAATGTTTATCTTCTTTTACTCCTAATTTTCTGATTTTACATTGTTTAATTTTCTGGTTTGATTCGAAATTTATTTTAGAAGGTATGATTTTATACTCTCTTTTGTTCTTGGTTAAAATTTATTAGAGCTAATAAAATTATCTAAGTTCTACTCTCCATATTAAGAGTCTCACTTATATTTTTACGAATCTTGATAAAATTTAACAAATAATAATATGTTGAAAAGAGTATGCTAAAAAAGTATATTATTTTATTCCTTGCAAAAAAAGAAAACAAGTATATTATTAATATTTTATAACAAAAATTCAATGCATCGTTAGTTGCTTAAAATAAATAAAAGCATGTCAACCAAACACTAACTCTTTAAGTGTCTAAAATAAAATGTTTATCATGAGAACAAAATAATGTAAATCTCAAACAAGTTCACAATGCCCATATTGTTAACATTATTTCAATTTAAATATTTAACTCTACAGTTAAATACGGAAATCTAACATATGCTTGCCATATTTAACACTTGAGTTTATTTGGGTGGCATCAAATGATTTGATTGTATTTGTAGTGACACACCCCTTCTGATTATTTGTGCCTATATTTCTTTCCATTCACTGGGCTTTTATCGCCAACCATGCATGTTTAGGTACTGCACCCTATTAAATACTACATGGTCCTCTTTTTGGTAATGTTTGCCTTTTGAAGCACAAAGACTCTAATAAGGATTTATCTCTTGCATAATTATGAAAGCATATACCTACTAGCCAAAAGTAGGCAATGCTTCAAGAAATTACATAGAGAGGAGCATATACATTTTCTCAATTCCGCTGCTGATGTGTGAACATCAAATAATTAATAAAGAAGGAAAGACAGTTTAAGTTAAGATACTGCTTTCTGGCAAGTTTTAACAAGTTTGGTGCATTTAATCAGATTAGTATAGCTTGGTATAGCACAGCCAATCTTCTTCAATTCTTGAAATGCTTGTATGGTCTCAGGATCAAAGCCACCTGCAAACTGAAAGGCTTCATGGCTGATGAGTTGGATAAGAGGAAATATTAACTTAGAGGTGTTTGAAGAATGTACTCTACCTGGTGTACTCTGAATGCAAACTTAACTCCTTGTACAAACAGGTTATCTTCCTGCAAAGGTTCTGTTGACTCTAATTCCTTGGTTATCCGTTTCATGAATTCCTTTGCTAGCTTCAATGAACTTAGCTTCATCTGCAGTTAATAACAAGATAACGCCCTTCAATGGATTTTGATGGTAATAACTAGATACCCTTTCTACAACATGTAAAACATAAGAGGTCATTGAAATGATACTAATTTGTCTGATGCTAGGAGAATAAAACAACATTATATTGCAATCAGTTTTCTGTTTGTTTGATCTATGTGAAATGGACAATCACACAGAATCATTCACCAGAATGATTTCATTTAGTGTCTTGTTAGTTCTATTCTAGTCTCCAGAGAATACAATAAGCAACATTTTTTTCTTGATTTCACATAGGCTTGTGTTTAAACACACTAACCAATAAATAACATTTTTTTTCTTGATTTCACATAAGCTTGAGTTTAAGCATAATTAACCTTATTTATTTAGAACAAAACACACATCATCATTAGTAAGCATACAAAACAATAAACCATATTTAATAAAAAGGCGGTGCTTTATTAAGGTCTTAAGGAAAATGTAAGCTATCAATAGTCTACCTGACCAATAATGCCTGTATCCAGCATCCACTCCCAAGGGATATGGAAATTCCTGTATCTCTTGCTTGTACTCTCCCTCATTCTCTCTTTAGCACTCACACTTCTCTCCAACCTGCACATTTGAAATTCGCAACTTTCAATTGATTTTAAGTATTCATCAAAAGCTTTAATCAGTGAATTCTAAATTTTGTACATGCTCGCCTGTCTTGCAGTGCTTGTATCTTTCTCAGAGTCTGAGGCAAAGGCTCTTTGGGATTGTCCTCATAAGATGAAACTTCAGATTCAAGGTTCTTCAGATCTCTATAGTTACAAGCTGCTTCCCTCAGTGCATCTACCTTCTGTTCTGGCCACTGAGGAAAATGTTTAAGCACTGACCTTTCATCCACCAATGAAGATAGTTCCCCATCTAGCCATTTGACAAATGCTTCCACCTCAGAAACATCTGCAAATGAGGCAGACTCAACCTCCTTAATCAAGAAACTAATGAATTCCCCTTGTCTTTGAACTTCTGATTTTATCTGTTCAGGAATGTGCATATTATCAATTAAAACAGATGAAGATAATTAGAGTCTGTTTGAGAAGTACTTATATGAGAGAAAAATAGGTAGGAAAAATGAAATAAATTTTTTCAAGTTAAAATTATATCAGGCATAAGCTAATTTGTAAAAGTTATTCCTATTAGTTTCTCCAAAATTCTATTTTTAACTTATGCATAAGCTTGTTTTGGCTTATGGAGAAGCTTATTTAGATTTTTTCTTCCTATTTTTTTTGTTCTAGAATTACTTGTGGAGAAGTTTATCCACACTCGCCTTTAACCAACGTTAGAAAATTTGACACATAAATATGAGCATTTAGTAGTTTGAGGCCAAACTTACGGCTGAGAGATAAGTTGAGCGGTTTTCAATTTCCTCAATCATGTTTCTGGTGAATGCTACTGTGGGAACACCATTGGAATGTATTCTGTTTTCCATGTTTGCATCCTTTCTGGTAAGGGAACGAAACAATTCTATTACTTCAGGCACACGGCGCACCGATTTCAACCCAACTAATGATGATTTTGGTGGTGTAGGAGGGGGTGGTGGTGCTATTGTTGGCTGCAAAACTTTAGGTCCTTTCTCTTTTTTGTGTAGAGGAAGAAGAAGGGTGGGAGAAGGCCTTGGTGGAGGAGCTGGTACTATTGCTGGTTTTTCTTTTCTAGGTGTTGAGTCTGGGAAATCTGAATTTTTAAGCACTTTCTCATTCTCTGAACTCTTTTCAGATGTGATTACCTGAACTGGTGGTGCTTTATATTGTTGATGCTGTGCTTCTGAATTGTTGTTGTCATCTATGGATTTCTGTATCTTCTTCCAAAGAACGGTTTTCCTCTCCATGTTGTATGCTTTAAGTGAAATTATCTGTGACTTCAAACGGCCTACTTCTTCTCTGAGTTCCTTGTTTTCCTTCTGTAGTGACTCATTCCTTGCCATGTGGACTTCAAGTTTTTTCTTGAGAGATGTGATCTCAGACTCATTCTCTTCCTGTAGCATCGTCTCCCCTTCCCTCATCAGAAAGATAGCTATAAGATGGTTACCAATTTGATGGCTTGTTTTTCTTCTAAATTTGGTCTTGCTTTTGAAGTAAGGTTGGTATGTAGGAGTTAAATATGCAAGAATGCCCCTTAAGATGCTTGCGATGGCTTTATGGACATGAGGGAACAATAGTGTGTTGATAAGGATGCTTTGGACATTTCACACCACTTTAATGCACTTTGCTATAAAGACTCATTATGATTCCTTTGTAACAAATTTTATAGGAGATAGGAGATTACTTGAGCTTGCTGGCAGCGCTAGTATGTGATAGCTGCACTTAGAATGCCATGTTAGGTACAACCTTAAATTCTTTGGTCAAATTTACTCTACTTTAATGCTTTTGTTTTTAGACTAATCTTGCTTTCTAATTTGTTACGGTGTCTTGTCTTTGAGGGTTAGTGCTACACCTATACTGCAAAAGTTTCCTAATTGAGATTATTTGGCCTTAATACTCATATACCTGTCTTGTCTCATTAATTTCTATATTTGAATCACGTCTACTCTTCTTCAATTCAGATTTTCTATTTACTACACACGTGGCCAAAAAACTAGTTAGAGTACCAAAGTTGTTGCAAAGTTGTAACATACTTACCTATATGGAACTCTCTTTGATCTTTACAAATCTAACATTTCCAAGTGTAACATGTGGAATGGGAGTGTCGTTGTGATGGTTGCCTTTCTTTTCATCATTTGAGAAGTGCCATTCCTCTGGTTGAATGGCATTTGTCTATTTTTTGCTTGTGAAGCAATGAAAAGAAAGGACAAAGGAGGTAGGAAAATGTACCCCCTACAGTGAGGTTCCTAGAAGGGTGAAAATATTCGTAAGGAAAGGTGGTGATTACTACAGCATACCAAATAAGATCCTTATGATATCTACATTTTTTTTTCTTTCAATTTATTATGCTGTCTCTCAAAGTCCCTCCTGAAGTCCTTATTCCTTTTCTTACTTTCTACTCCTTCCTAGGACTTGAAATCACCACCCTTCTACCCTTTCCACAACCGAAAGTGTGACTTGATGTAGATTGGTGAAGAACGTAAAATAAAAATCAGAAACATTGTTCCAAGCCCTTAAAGTATTAATTTGTTCAAAACCTTCATATATTAAATTATGGCATTATATGTCATTCCGTTCTCTTTACCAACACTACCATTTTTTAGAGAACAATATGTGTGTTTTTCTCTTAGGGTAGGTAGCTCATCTCATCATTCCTTTATTTATTCTTTCTTTCAAACTCGAAAAAAGGAAATTATGGAAAGAGCTGGTTATAAAAGTTGCATTAATTAAAATATAGTATCAACTTAGAGAAATAAGAAATAATGTAAAGTTGGCATGTACATGCCCTGAATATGAGGGAAGAAGTGTGCACCTCATGCATAATTTGGAAATTCTTGTGAAATTTCTATGACAGCTAATATATAATTCTGTTAACATTTATTGAGCGGTTGGAGGGGTGTAGTTGGCTAGAATGTACACATTGAATTTGAATGTTGAGTCATGACATCAAAGACTAAGATATCAAATATGGAACATGCATAACCTTTAACTACGTATGTCTATAGCCCCACAGCACAGCCTAGCAGGCTGATTTTACGTCCAAAAACTATATACTATATTATATATATATTCATATCCACTAAAAGTAATTTATAACACACTTTTCTTTTTTATTTTTCAAATCATCGTATTTATTATTACCAAGTTAAATTCGCGTAGGTCCAATAAATAAATAATGTGAGTTACACTGCTTTATCTAATGACTTTATTTATTATTTCGTAAAACTTGTAAAAAAAATTATCTAATAATAAAAAGAGTTTAATTTTCATGTAATAGAAATGTAAGTTTTTTTTTTTAACTGCCAAACGATTAGAAATTATCTTATTTTGTTTTCTGACCATGTTATTTAATTACAGATTATCTTAAATAGATATCTATTAAAGTAATTATTATAAAATTTAATGATTTTAAACTTATAAAATATGAATGACAGTGACAAAATGTGTTCTATTAATTAGTTTTAAATAAAAAAAATTATATATTAGAAAGAAAACTTCTCTAACAATCCATTAATGATTGAACAATATGTGTGGCAAATAATATTAACTGTTAAATTAATAATTCTTAATAAATAGATGAAATTTATAAATTTTACAAAGTTAAAAAAATATGTTTAAATTAACATATAATATATTTTTATGAATATATCTTAATTTAATTAATATAACATATCAATTGTTTTTAAATTTTACAAAAAATGTGTAAATTTAATCTCTATCAAGAATTACTCTTTAAAGTAAGTGAGTCATTTTTCATTATATTTTATTTGATTGGAAGAAAGGAAAGAAGAAAAAAAAAACATTATAACAATCTGTTTTCTTTTGTTTGATTAGAGAGAAAATAGAAAGAAAGAAGAAAAGAAATCCTTCCTTCCATTTAGATTTCAAGTTTTTTCTCTTCTCATTTTCTTTCCATCATTCCAAGCAAACCATTAAAGAATGTCTGGTCTTGAAGGAAATAAAAACCCTCAGTTGATGACATATAATATGATCCTACACTGAGGGTCCATCAACCAGTCATAGTTTTAAAGCAGGCCCTTATCACATAAGTTGCATCCGTTAGAGTAGCTCACCTATAAAACGGCCCAAACTCTACTTTCCCACTTTCCAATTACAAAACAAATGTTGCAATTTGTCTTCCTTTCCGACCAACAAAATAGGGAAAAAATAAACATGACTTGGTAAGTAGCTCTTGTTGGGTAGGCTTTTTACCCATGCAATGCTGTTATAAAAACTTATGACTAATCTGGGGGCGTATTGAAATATTTTATATTTTTGGAATAATTAATGTCGGGTGTTGTTGATCAACTCAACAACTTTCACATCACGTCATTTTTTTTCTATCTCAAAGTGGCTCCAAAAAAAAGGGACACGTGTACCAAGTTTAATGTTTTTAGGATAATTTTTTCTTATATATATATAAATGTGACGTTTTGTGTTGTTGTGGCACATGTATTTTTTTTTCTTCAAGTATTAAATATTTTATTTTGCATGCCTGTTAACAACAACATCTAATTTTAATTTTTAAACTTAATGATTCAGGTCACAAAGAGCAGATACAAAGTTATGAGGTAGTGGGGACTTAGACACAGAGGTAAGAAAAGTGAAATACTTTTTAGGCTTATAAATCCCATGTTGGCTTCTGGTAATAGGCCTTTTTGGTGGGCTTAGATGTGAGCTTGGAGTTGGGCGAGGAAGAGATGGGTAGGAGAGGAGGTGGGGTGGAGGGGCTCAGCCTAGTCGGCATGGGAAGGCTTTGTTGCTAGTTGGGCAAGTCGGTTGTTGGATCCGGTGAAATGGGCTCTAACGAGTTAGGTAAGGGAGTAGCTTGTGGTCTTGTTTGAGTAGAGAAATGATAGACCATGTAGGTAGATGGTCCATCTTCTAAAAACTCATAAGTGTGATTTTGAGGAGTATGTAACTGTGCAAAGGGAAATTGCGTCTCATCAAATATTATGTGACAGCTAATGATGATTTTTTGAGATGATAAATCAAAGTATTTGTACCCACGATGATTCGGAGGATACCCCAAAAAAATACAAGAAGTAGACCGAGGTTGAAGTTTGTTTATGGTTATAGAAGGAATGAGAGGATAACATAAACACCCAAATACCCGAAGATGAGAATAAGATGGGTCCTTTTGATAAAGGATTCGGAGAGGAGATTGATAGTTTAATAACTTGTGAGGAAGAATATTGAGAAGGTATGTTGCCATTTGCAAAGCGTGATGCCAAAAAGACGGGGGAAGAAAAGCATGAGCCAATAAGGTACGGACAATGTTGTTGATGGTACAGATTTGTCTTTTAGCTTTCCCGTTTTGAGGGGATGTATGAGGACATGAAAAATGAAAAGAAACACCATTAGCTTTACAAAATTCCCAAAAAGGCCCATTATCAAATTCTGTGTCATTATCACACTGTATATTTTTTGTGTCTCATTCAAATTGAGTTCGGATAAGGGATTTGAAATTCAAAAATATGGAATAAGTTTGTAATTTTTGCGATAAAGGAAATGTCCATAAAAATTTAGAATAATCATCCACAAACAAGACATAATATCTATGACCCAATGAACTCAAAACAGGTGACGTCCAAAGATCACTATGGATAATATCAAATGGCATAATAGTGCAAGAATTTGAAGCATAAAATGGCAACTTAACATGTTTTCGAAGAAGACATGAATGAAAAATACGAGAATCCTTAATTTAATTACATTTAATCAATTTATTCTTCCTAAGGGAGGTCAAAACAGGGGCTCCCGGGTGACCCAAACGATCATGCCAAAGAGATGGTGCTATGGCAGCAAATGTATATGGATTTGTAGGCTTGGTGATGGGATAAAGCTCGCCCTGACTCTCCCACCTCATTACCGGCTTCCCCGTCTGAAATCCTTCACAGAAAATTAAAGGGATCAAATTCAACAGAAATAGAGTTATCAGTTGTAAACTTTCTAGCTGACACCAAGTTTTTAACAAGTTGAGGAGCATGAAGGACATTGTTTAATGTTAAGGGAGGACACGAGGAAGACAATTTGGTGTGACCATAGCCATGAATTGGAATTGAATGATCGTTACCAACAATTATATCATGTTTGTTGCTCATATTAAAATAAGACGTGAGGTTACCTTGTGCAGATGTCATGTGAGAAGTAGCACCAGTATCCATGTACCAATTTGCATCTAGAGGACTGATGCCAAGAGTATGCATTGCAGCTTCTATGTCTGTTGGAATTGGTGCTGCGATGTAGGCTTGCGAAGGTCTGGGCCCAAGTACACCAGGCTGTTGACGTTATTGCTGTCCAAATTTGGGCTTGGCCCATGGATTAGAAGGGTACGGACAAGGAGGTATAGCCCACAGAGCCATCCACTGCCAAGGCCACGGTTGTCCGCCAGGCCATGGGACCACTAGTGCAAAAAGAGGCTTTTACGTCACCTAAATAACGTCGGAAAATGGCACCACCGACGTTATAAAAACGCGGTGGCATGTACCGTAATTTTGGCAGATTATTTACGTCGGTCCTAACTGGGTCCGACGTAAATTTTAACATCTACGTTGGCTACGCATTGTGTCCGACGTAGATATTAAAATTTACGTTGGCCCTTATTGGGTCCGACGTAAATAATCCACTGTTGGTTATTAAAAGAAGGTGCATTATGTGCGCGCAGTGTAGTTTCAAAAATTCTCCTCCCGCGCGCAAAGGCTGAAGTGGATCTCCTTCTTCCTCTTCTCCTTTAGAGTTGCTTTTCAGGGATTCATTTCAAGCTTCTCCTTCTTCCTCTTCAACAACTTAGATTTCTTCTCCCGTGCTTCTCGTTCCTTTATTCATACTTTGAACAATACAGAACGACCTCCGGTTTTGCAGGGTTACAATCTGGTTCAACCATATGTGAATAGTCTGTGGAACACACTTGAATAACATACTTGAACTGAAATGCATGAGTTCAGTTCACTTCACTTCAGTTCCAACTACATTTTTGAAATTAATTGCTTTAAACTGCAAGGGGATCCACCAATTATTGGCAGCAGTAGCACAAACAAATACACCACAAATATTCCCCATTCCCATCATATAAATGAACATTTGAATTTGAAAATAGCAAGTCAGGACCCATATCTGATGGGGCTCAACACCTCTCCACAATGGAAAATACCCCATACCCAGTAAGTTTGGATACCCTACACGGGGTTGAGATACCATTACATATGAAGGCCGAATGCCTTCCCATGCCGAGATACCACAAAAATAAAATGCTAGAAAATATATTCAATTCAAAAAGTATAAAAGTGAAAAAAGGGGCACCACCAGTCCAAGAATACAAAAGTAATAAAGATCAACATTTTCTTCATTTTCCCTACCAGTTTCAACAGCAGCATTGCCGGAATGGGTTCTCAAAGTTTCCTCATCAACTGTAGGCCAAGAAATTGAATCCACATCCACCAACTTCCCTTGGTAAACATCCTTGTCAATGTCAAAACTTGACATATCACTCAAGTTGCAAAGAAGCATGGCCGGGAAGACAACCTTGTCAAACCTAACCACATGTTCAGTATAAACCAGAACCTTTGCCTCTTCAACCAGGTTCTTAGCACCAAGTCTTCTGGTCCTTCCTTCATCTCATTCTTTGTTAACTTGAGCCAAAGAATCCTTTAGCACAGTCATCTCTCATGAAAGCTTGTGGTTAGCCTCTTCAGCAGCTGGACATTGATCATTAAATTTGGCTTCTTTTTCTTTAAGACATAACTTTGCTTTGAAGGTTAACAATGTCATCGGCAAGCCCTTCATTCACTTGCAAAGCTTCCCGTAGAGATGTCGAAGACAACTCAAGGTCCTTTTAATTCTTGATCTCCTCTCCTCAACTTTCTACCTTAGTCAATTTGAACCCTGAAAACTAGGGAATCACCCAAGCACGAGAATAAAGCTCACAAAAGGAAGCCAAACTAGCTTCAAGAACCCCTTGTATACAGAGATCTTTATTGTAAAATGATAGGACCAAAGGATTAAAACCTTGGCCAAAAAAACCCTCCCCATAAATTATCGGAGTAAGGAGGTTGTTTGGAGTTGGAGGATCAGAAATGTTGGTGAAGGTGTCAGCTTCTCTTATTTCCGACCCGAACAATTTTAGGGGTCTACAATGGTGGTCCTCTCTTCCTCTCTAATCCCAGCCTTCATCATTAATAACTTCATTTGTTGCCTATATTCTTCCACACTAGATGACCCTTGTTTCAACCTTTGTAGCTTGTCCATAAGCTCTCGGTCATAGTATGGAGGAATTTGCCTCCTTCTCAAGGCACTATGGAGTTCATTCCAATATTAGATTGGGGGCTCGTGATTTATTCTCCTTTATTTTTCTAAGGAGGTCCACTAATACATAGCATGCCCTTGGAAGCTAAGGGTTACTAAAGAAACCTTCATCTCTTCACTCACTCCATGGCAAGATAAAAGTTTCTCAACTTTCATTTCCCAATCTAAATATGTTCCACATTGTCTTTGCCATGAAATGAGGGAAGAGTAATGTTGGGTTCCTTATTGGAAGACTCCTTATGTTTAGGTTATCTTGGGGGTCTTTGATAGTAATCATCATTGTGATGACTACTATATAGGCTTTCACTTGGAGGTTGGGTATGATGCCCTTCCTCCTCATGCACACTTGAAGGAAGTCGCCCTTTGCCTTTTTGGGACCTAGTTGGAGGGACCCTTGGTTTGGATCCACTAGCTTCCCCCTAGCTAATTTTGCAAGTATTTTTCTTATTTCCTCATTGTTTTGTTCATTTTCTTTTTCCCTCTTTCTAATTTCTTCCTCTCTTTTTATATTTTCCTCTTCTTGTTTTCTTATGTACTCTTTAACTTTCTAAGCTCATCCCTAACACTAGGTCTACTACTATTAGAGTTATGACCATGCACACTAGAATGATCACTCATCTTTGATCAAGAAAAGGTTTTCACAATGAGTTTGAAAGTTTTCACAAAGAGAGTGATAAAAGGGTTTTCACAAATAGTTTTTGAGGTGCAATATTAGTATTAGAAGGGCTAAGTGTACAAATTGAACTATCAAGGGAGGTGGACTACAAAGAATCGCTTAATAACCAAGCCTTTTCAAGTAAAAATCACTAAGCCTCTTTATACCTTTCTCATAAAACAATTTTGCACAAATATTAGGTGTGTGTGTGTTTGCGTGAACCCCTAGTAGGAAACTTGAAGCCTTCTAAACGAAAACAAGCAAGGTAAAACCTAAGCAATTATACTAACAAAGCAATAGGAATAAAAAAAGCAACTAAAGCATGTGCTAGTCGGATTCCCTAGGGTGGGAGCTTGAAGTGACCTTGGTGGTATTTAAGCCACTCCCACAAGCACTACACGAATTACTCAAAATACTTTACCTCAAATGATTTATAAAGGAACTAATGCGAGACATTCAGTTGACGGCTCCACTATAAATATAGATTTAACCAAGTTAGATATTAATTCCAAAATAGCAAAACCTGTTTATGAAAATATTAAAAAAGATGAAGATAATTTTAACCCTTCTGCTTCAGATTTTAATTCGGTTATAAATACTATTACCAAGCAAGAACCCTTTAAAATTGATAAAGAATGGATCAATCAAGATTTTTTAGCATATTATAATAAAGAATTAAGAAAGTGGTATTTTGAAACCTTTACTAAACAAGAAACAGATAAGTTTAGAAAATTATATTATGCTTATATGGAAGAAAATGAAATTAATATTTATTTTTTTGACTGGTTAAATACACATATTAAAAATAATAATAATAAAATAATAAATCCTATAACAAAAGTAAGTAAAACATGGAAAACAATAGACAATAAAATTATAATATCTGAATATCCACCTATGACTACCGTTAAAATAGATATAGAAAAACAAGAAATAGAAGCAAGTCCTTATAAAACTATTAATGAATCAGAAAAAGATGTTAATAAAAAAGATATTAAAAAGATTCATAATCAATTAAACTTCTCTAATAGTATGTTAGAAACTTTATCAAAACAATTAACTAGGATAGAAGAAAAAGAAATACC